CTCTAATATTATTTCTTTTAAAGGGTAACTGTACAGCTCATTGTAGACAAATGAAAAGTGGACTTGACATTGGTAAGATCCCCCAACACACACCACTTTTTGATATGATAAGCTAGGAAATCTTCATTTTTATGTGAAATAGCCTGCTTTTAAAATGCTGACAATGAATTCAAAATTTTAAAAGTCACTTTCAGGCTTCCCCATTGTGGATCAGATACATGTGTACATTCTGCTCCATTTATAACTTCTGAGTTAGGAGTGCTGAAAAAGCGTGCCAGGCCCTGATTTGGCAAGACTCATTATACGATATTGATGATTGCTCAAGCCTCTGGTCTTTTCTTCTGCATTGTTCCTTTGTCCCATCAGTCAGGCTGGGGAAAAGAATGTAAATGTGCTTTCATTTTACTGATTGTTAATAATCAGACCATGTCTGAATGGAATCCTCAGCCATTTTTGCTTTAGGAGATTATTAAAATTAATTGCTCCCTTCCCTTCTGTGGTTAGGGAATCAGTCGTCAGTTTTCTGGTTGTTTTTTTTTTCTCCATTAAACAGAATTTTTGATGCATATTATCACATCCATATATAAAATTAGAAGTTAAAGGGTTAGACTCCAATAACTACATTAAACAACAGTATAAATACTTTGTTTGACTATAATTTTATAACTTAAAAAAGTTTATTCAAATGCCTTAATATGAATACCTTTATCTTCTGATCATATATATTACATTAGATTTACTGATACAGTTGACAGGAATGGGTGCAGCGTGATATACATCAGATATGCATAGCTCAATTACATCAAATCTCTGATACTTTTTTTTAATATGTTTTTTAAGATTTTATTTATTTGAGAGAAATAGCATGAGAGTGAGAGTGAGAGAGAGAAAGAGACCACAAGCAGGGGGGAGTGGTAGAGGGAGAGGGAGAAGCAGATTCCCCCCTGAGCAGGAAGCCTGATGCGGTACTCGATTCTAGGACTCTGGGATCATGACCTGAGCTGAAGGCAGATGCTTAACCTACTGAGCCACCCAGGTGCCCTCAAATCTCTGATATCCTTTTAAGAAAAAAATATAATTAGAACAAGATGTAAGTCTTTATTTCTAAACACCTCTTTTTAAAAATCTTTTTTATTTTTTCTTTTGCGAGAGAGAGCGCACACAAGGGGAGGTGGTAAAGGGAGAGGGAGAGAGAATTTTAAGCAGGCTCAACACTCAGCATAGAGCCTGACCTGGGGCTTGATCTCATGATCCTGAGATCATGACCTGAGCTGAAATCAAGAGTCAGATGCTTAATCAGCTGAGCCACCGAGGTGCCCCTCTGAACAACTCTTTTAAATGACAGTATCAAAATGTATTTACAACTAGAATTCTTTCTGTTCAAAAGGTTCAGTTGTATTTTACCGTTTTAGTAAGGTAAAATTATCTGTCAAACTAAGTAGCCATATGCTGAAATGAAGTTCAAAGGGCTTTTTAACCAGAGAATAAACATCTTTCTTTTAAGAAGAAATAAAGAGTTTCAAGGATTTGACAAGATACGTATTCTAAGAAATATTTCTCACATGTACTAATTTCAACAAATATTCAAGGAGTTTAGATTTAAAGAGAAACAATCCATAATTTCTAATGTCAAGAGCAAAGCATTTTCAGATGTCCCAGACATAAATAAGGCAAAGGCATTTATCACTGAAATGTGGGAAAGATTATATTTATTTAAGATTTTGTTTACTAGTTGATAGCTTGAAATTCTTTAAGGAAATACTACTTTTGAACTTTAAAGCATTCAAATTGGAATACAAAGTCTGCTACCATGTGTTCTTTTTTTAAGAGTTGTTTGTTAGTATGGACGCACGGGCATGTATGCTAGCAGGGGGGACAGAGTAGCGGGGGAGGGGGGCAAAGGGGAGAGGGCATCTCCAGCAGACTCCCCACTAATCAGGGAGGTAGATATGGGGCTCTGTCTCAGGACCCTGAGATCATGACCTGAGCTGGAATTAAGAGTCCAACTCTTAACCGGGTGAGCTACCCAGATGCCCTTGCTCTTCTTTTCACATTAATACGAATATGAAATATTACAAGCTTGTTAGCTGACTTCCAAGTTCCAGCTATCAAAGAAACCCTTTTCTTGATTGGAGAATTACCTATTTAATTATTTAAGGGTACAATGAGATGATATTTACTTGAAACTTTTTGAGAATAGTAAGCTACGGTTAACATTAATGACTAAGTCCTGAGGGCCATATTTGGGAGAAGGGGGGAAGATTTGCTTAGTGTTTTTTTTGTTTGGGGTTTTTTTTTTTTAAATCTACTTTTTTATTAGCAACTTTCTTTTTTAGCAACTGGATTTACTTTTAGTATTTTTTCTATCTTGGTTTAATTTGCATATTTTACAGAATTGTGATCATATAGTATATATAGCCTTTGTTTTCTGATTTCTCACTAATCTTGTAAGATCCTCTTAATTCATCTTATAGCTGAAAGCTTGTATCCTTTTACCAACCTTTCCCTATTTTATACCTTAATATATTAAACATGATTAAATTTTTTTCCATTTAAAAGCCTTTTCAGGATCCGGCAGACTCTGGGTCATCATTACGAACATTAGTGTGTCATTGCAGAGCAGTTGTGTAGAGCTCCTGGCTGCTAGAGAGAGCCCTGGGGCTTTTAGAACACCAGGTTTCAAGTAGTGTTTTGTCTAAGTGGAAGACAGCACATAATATAGCACAATCTGAGAAGTGAGAACTGGAGTCTCTGGCCAAGTCACTGCAGCCCAAATGACTGGACTGCGGCATGGCTGCTCTTGGCATTTTTTGCTGCCTTAACAATCCCTGAGGTTTGGCGCATGATCAGTTTGGGTTGCGACAGTTGGGATCTGTCAGAAGACAGTGAAAGCAATAGAATCAACATTGCGATGGACTAGTTCAATGATGCAGCCTCTGAAATGTAAGATCATTCCAAGTTGACTGTTAAAAAAAAATGGGTGGACTTGGGGGTCATTTTTGTGAGAGGGGAATATGAGCCAGGATTTCAAATAGACCTAGAAGAGTGTTTCTGAGTGTTGCTTGTTTTTGTCTTTAACTCATTAGTAGAAGAGAGTTGGGAGATACTCTGAGGAAAATAGGGCAGTTTTATTCAGATACAGTATTTCTTTGATTCTGAAGAATAACATTCTAAGTATCAGGCAATGTGTTTTACTAGTATAAATGTGATGGAAGGTTATTCCTTTTTGCGACAATAATTGTTAAAAAATACTGTAATTGTTTTTGAACATTTTATATGTGATTTAAAAAAATCAAAGTTAACTAAAATCAGTTCCTTTTTAAGAGTATTATAATAGGGTCTCTTTGTCAAATAAATAAATAAAATCTTAAAAAAAGAGTATTATAATAAAAAGTAGCAAAAAGATCAAAGCCTGAGATAGTATTTATATTACTGATATAGTACTTCTAATAAACACCTTTTATTATAAACAGTGTTTGTTATATAAACACTGAGGAAAAAATGAACATGATAAACGTGGGCAATGAAAAAGAACAGAAAAGCTTTCAATTATGAGGAAGTTAGAGTGAAGTGATCTGAATAGAGCCAGAAATAATGGTATTTTGTGTTTTAATAATTAACGAGGAAAGTTTTCAAATCTTTTTTCTAGATTGGGCTGGGAGGGTTGGTTTAGGTGTTGGAATCTGGGTATATTTTCATTTAGTTAAATCTCTCTGTGACTTTTTCCCCCTAATGGTAATTGGGACAGTATATACAGGTAAATTATATGAACACAGGGTTAAAGATTCACAAAACTGAGATCTGGACTCAGCCCTGACATTTAGTAGTAGTTCAGCTTTCAGGAACATCTTTTGCCTCTGAATTTCTCTTTCCTCAGCTGTAAGGTCAGCGTTTGGGATTAGACCTATGAGGTACCTCTCTTTATGAAAGAAACACTAATCCTATCCACAGAAGATAGGATAACTCAGTTATGCGTGCCCAGATGATAGGACACTATGTTGTTAAAGTAAATGAAGTAAGTCTGTAAGTACAGATGGGGTATGATTCATTTACTCATTTGCCCAACAAATTTTGAGTCCTTCTATATGCCAGGTGCTATTTTTGATGTTAGGAATACAGAAATGAACATATAGACATAGAACATACATTAAAGAGATCAAACAATAAATAAACGAATAAATATCATGGGATTAGGGAGTGATCAATGCCATGAAGAAAAATGAGGTAGTTTCTTTAATCTTTGAAACTTGGTAAGGAGAAAAAGAAGATATAGAATGTATTTGGGACATTACTTTAGAGTTTGTTAAAGACACGGGGGCTGGTTGCCCTTGGATGGAGAATTGGAAGATTTGGGTGTGGTATAGTAGGGAGAGAGGCTTACTTCACATACCCTTTTGTGCTGGTTGATTTTTTTTTTTTTTTTGACATATGTGCATGTATTGCTTAAAAAAGCAAAAAACAACAAAGCCAAAGAACTGAATCCTTAAGAGCTGTGGGGGAAATCTTTTTTGATGATATATTTAACTTGCTTTAATCGAATTTGAACTTTTTTTGGCTAAGTATACTGGTCTTATCTGTGTGTCCCGTGTTCTAATAATGTTTAGATAATAAAGTTTTTTGGCTTTCGGTTTTATCAGTCTTTTTCTTTTGATGTGTACAAGTTTTTTTTTGTGTGTGTGTTAACATTTGCATTGCCAAAGCTCAAGTTTACATATATTTTTCTTTAACGTGTTTCAAATACCATGAAAAGGAAAATCTACAGGTTCTAAACATGCGTAAGGACAGCTTGCTTACTGCATGTCATCCTTAGGATAAGAATTGAAGTTGACATTTTGTCTTAATGTGTCTCAACTTTTATTTCAGTTTCAATATGTTTACTTTTAGGTTCCAAACATCAGTTGAACTTGGAGAACCCAAATGAGGTCACTTCTTTTTTTCCTCTAAAAAAACCCCCAGCATGCTAAGCATCTCTCCTGATTTTTATCTCTGTTCTTTTCTAGTTGGATGAAAAATCTGACAAACAGTATGCTGAAAATTACACAAGGGTGAGTACATAAATTCCTAAGGGAATTAGATTCTCAAGGTCAATTAAACTTAATTTCTACTGCTATTTCATTATTTTACTACATTTGAACTGGTAGGGCTACTCTCCCTTTCTTCATCTATTTCCTGTCCTTGACCCCCCAAATTCCTCTGAGGTTGAATCATGTGAATCACTGGGAAGAGAAAAGACACTGCATTTTATTTCCTTGAATGTCACTTCTTTAAGCTTTTGGCTGCTCTTTTGATTTTCATTCCCTAGAATTTGATCCTGAGAAGCCATTAAACGCTGAAAATGAAGTGTCTTTAGGAATGGTGGTGACAAACTCTGAGGGTTTTTCTTTCCGCCCTTAATAGTTAATTTTTTTTTTTTTTTGAGGTAAAGTAACTCCTTTCTAGGAGTTATTTTGTGTTAAAGTCTCTAACTTCTAGAGTATTTTTAGAAAGTCATTTTTGGGAAATTATCAGGATTAATTTCATGCTATATCCCCAAAAGATATACCAGTTCTGTCTGATAGAGATACAGTGCAAGCCACAAGTGTACCCACATATATGTAAGTTTAAATTTTCTAGTAGCCTCATTAAAACAGTAAAAAGAAACAGGGGCACCTGGGTGGCTCAGTCGTTAAACGTCTGCCTTCGGCTCAGGTCGTGATCCCAGGGTCCTGGGATCAAGCCCCGCATGGGCTCTCTGCTCCGCAGGAAGCCTGCTTCTCCCTCTCCCACTCCCCCTGCTTGTGTTCCCTCTCTCGCTGTGTCTCTCTCTGTCAAATAAATAAATAAAATCTTTAAAAAAAAAACAGGTAAAATTTATTTAAATAATATATTTTATTTAACCCAAATATGTCAATGTAATCAATGTGAAAAATTATTAATGAGATATTTTACATTCTTTTTTTCCATACAAAACCTTTGAAATCTGGTTGTGTATTTTACAATTAAAAATAAAATCTCAATTTGGACTAGCCATGTGTCAAATGCTCAGTAGCCCCATGTGGCTAATGGCTACTGTTTTAGACAGCATAGATCTGTGCCATTTATTAATCCAGTAGCATAATCTCACATTTAAACTAACTGTGGGAATAGCAGTCTAAATTCAGAGTGATAGACAATTTGCTTCAGCTGCAAAGTTTGCTTCCAACTTTATCAAAATACTAGAAAAAGAAAAGATTCTGAAGGAGCATCTTCAGGAACTTGGTAGGAGGGCTGCTAATCAGCATACCAGTTATAAGTCCTGAACTGTTTTAAATTAATCTGATGTGCTCACCCCAGTGTTGTTTACGATGTAGAAAAGATAAACTTAGAAAACAACTTGCACACGAACTGTTTCCTTTGTTATTATGAATTCTAGATTCCCATAAAGTGTTGGAGTGAACTAAGTTTTGCGTAGCATGCCTGGGCCCTTCTCTGGATACCCTCTTCCCATAGCAGTCTGCACTCTCCCCATCTTCTCACCCACACCCCACCCTGGGCCCAGTTTTAGTTTCCACAGCAAACGCATTTGGAAAGAAGTAAGACTCAGATGTGTCCTCTTCCTCTTTTTCTAGCCGTCATCTCGGAATTCTGCCTCGGCAACGACCCCGCTGAGTGGAAACTCATCCAGACGAGGGAGCGGAGACACCAGCAGCTTAGTAGATCCAGACACCTCATTAAGTGAATTGCGGGTAAACCGCAGTCTTTGGTTTGCTTTTTAAAAACCATTTTTTGGCTTATTTGTAGTATAGTATACTGGAACTATTTAACATTTAATGTGACTTAGTAGAAAGAAAAGGAATATGAGTTCTTTAAAAAAAATTATTAAAGATAGTTCAGGAATGTGACTCAGATTTGAAAGGAAGGAGATTAGTTAATTCTTTTTTCTGTTCTCTTTCCTGAACATTTGATGGTATTGGAAGGAGTTCTGCTAATTTACAGATGCCAGAAAAACTTGTTAATGTATGTAAAGTAATTCTCTCAGAAATAATTGGCCATATTTTAAATGGAAAATATGTGGATATACCAGGAACCAGACTCTAGGAATTGTCGGTCTTTTGAGCCATTATGTTATTACTTGGCTGCTTGAATATAGTTATCTATCAATTTTTCATGAAAAGTGTAGTAATATTTGGGATAACAGAAATACCTGAGTTGAGTCCCCTGGGTTGAGTCCCCGTTCTTATTAACCTTTTTATTTAAAAAATGAGGACTTTCAAAATGTATTTGAATGTTTATTGGCTGAACCTGCTATTTGTGAGCAATGGGGGAAGGGTAGTAATAAAAATTGCATTCGTTCATTCATTCATGCATTCAACATTTATTGAGCCTTTGGCCCCAGAGATTTAGGCCGTGAAACACACTGTGAACTTCAGGAGTTCAGTTTTATAGGGAAGACAAACTGATAGAAACCAGTAAAACCAGCTCGTGTGATAATAGGTAGTAGCCAGAATAGGGCTATTAAGGGAATTCAGAGAAGTGTCAGCTACGTTGGACTAAGGTATGAAGGAAGAATACACATGAACCAGGCAAAGTTGAAGGACAAAGCTTTTCTCAGAACTTCAGAGAACCAGAAGATACTCTGTATAGTACAGTTGCCTGAGGGTAGGATGAGAAGTGAGGAGGAGAGGTGGGTGAGGGGGAAGACCGGGGAAGTAGTTCTGGGCCAGACCACAAAGCATCATGTATGGGAGCCTAGAAGGCATTTGGTATTCCCCTGGCAACTGTGGGATATTAAATAGGGGAGTGAGAGTATCTGATTTGCATTCTTAAAGAGTGACCCCAGATTGGAGGAAGCACTGGAGGCGAGGGGAACAATACCCTGTGGTTGAATAGTGAAGTCAAAACTGTGATGCAAGAAGATGGAAGAAATTTGCTCTGAAGAGAATACTGGAGTTGATTGGTCAACAGCAGAGAGAGATAGGAAACTTAAGAGAAGGTTTTTGTTTTCTTTCAAAGGCGGACTTGATTATTATTTTCATTGCTTGACTTGAGAGAGGACAGGAAGGCAAAGGAAGGAGAGGGTGACTGAGGAGCAGGGTGCCTGAGTGGGTGAGAGGAATGCCTAGGGCGCAGATGGAGGAGGGCCAAATGTGGAGGTTCAGTGCTGCTGACACAGGAGGAGGTGGGGACTGGGGTACTGAGTCAGATTATAGGCGGGTAGGAGCAGGAGTCCGGCTTATGAAGTGGGCAGCCTGTAAAAGTGGGCCAGTGGTTAGAGGGTGGAGAGGTTTGCAGCAGTGACGGTGGCAGTCGAGAAGGAGAGCTGCCCCAGGCCGACATGGCATGACTTTGCGTGTATCAGTATTTACCAAGCTCTTACTAAATACCAGGCATAGGTGCCGGGGGTGCAGAGTTGAGTAAGATAAACTCTTGCCTTCAGTGGGACAGAACAAAGGAGGGAAAGGCCCTCCAGCCTCACAACTTAGCTCGTGCTTGCCGTTTCCTCGTATTGCTTCTTTAAGAGAGTGACTTCCTGAAGGAAATGAGAGCTTTGTATCCTTATAGTCGGCTCCTCGTAGCCCTTCTATATATGTCTGTTGAATGAATCAATGAACAGAAGACAGACAAACCTACAAAGGAGGGAATGAAGAGTGCAGGGGAAGAATAATACAGAAAGTGTGTGTGACTGGCCTTGGAGAATTGATCCTGTCTGTATTGCAGAATGGTACTCAGGGAAAATAACCGTGGCAGTTATTTTCTCCCTAAATCAAGCATCTGAATAGATTGTATGTAGCAGGGTCAGGTATAAGGGAAACTGTGTTTTCCATTTAAAATTTGACCTGCTTTACTTTATAAGGATTATGGTTACATTGGGAGCAGATGCTCTTTTCTTATCATTTAAATGGCATCCTCAGCATAGACTTTCATTTGACATAATGTTTAAAATGTTGGTGTTTAACTTCCTTCCCTTTACTTTCTTTCTCCCAAATTAACTGTGGTTGGTAAGCAAGTCATTGAAAGACAACATTGTTCATATCCATTTATTACAGTTTTTAAAACTTTTGCATGAGTCAGTAAAATTTGCTGCTTATAATTAATTTACTACATGTTTTACTAGTTCTAGGTGAAGCATTATGTTAAAAATTATTTGAATGATTTATAAAATTTTTAATATTATATGATAAGCATGTTATAATTTATACAGCTTTTTTCCATATACACCCCCTTTTGCTAATGCTGTTTCAACAAATGTTAATGTCAAGAAAATAGTGAACACTTTAGATTGATTACTCCAGACCTTCTCCAGCCCCACTATCCCCTGACCTGTTTGCCCTATTCCATGGTTTGGAGTGGCAGTTACGCTTGTGTACTTTGATTTCTTTGCTTTTAGTCTGGAATACACAAAAGTAGTTCATGTTTTCATCTGAATCTCTGAGACTTAAGATATGTTTGTGCATGGTTTTATGCAATGGTTCATTCCTATGTCCTGCAGGATATCTATGACCTTAAGGACCAGATACAGGATGTAGAAGGGAGATACATGCAAGGGCTTAAAGAACTAAAGGTATCAGGGCCCATTCTGCAGCCCAAGCATGCTGTCTGTATGCAGAAGGGTTGGGTAATGGTGGTTTCACAAGTTCTGTTAACCCCAGTGCACAGAGCTTTACTAACAGTGTTTGTCTTTCAAGCATGTGCTTAACCTGCAGTGCATAGGAAAGGCGAACTTTCAGTCTCTGCTTTGTCTAAATGTTTAGTATGGTTTTTGGATTATTCAGTAAAAGATATTACACCTTAGAGTTTTTAACTTTGTAAAATGCTTGCATGTCCCTTGTGTCTTAGCCATACAAAATTGAATTGGGCAAACTCTTAAAAAGTATTCTGAGAATGAATATATATCTATATCTATATCTATATCTATATATTTAATTAAAAATTAGACCTTAAAATTCTTCCATGCTAAATGAGAGAATATTGCCTATTTCTGTCACCAAATTCAGTCAATATTAAAGGCAGGAGGAAGAAACATCTAAGGGTGCATTATTATAAATACTCCTTTTGGAGGAAGGACCCTGAGATAGGAGCCTGTGTTTTTGTTTTGTTTCTTCTTCTTCTTTTTTAAACTATAGGTCAAAAGGGATTATACAGATTCAGTGCTTTAAAAAATTTGGAGGTAAATTTAAATGGGCCTAAATCTTTTCTGAGCAAGGATGGCTACCAGCTTTCAATATAAGTGTCCGAGTGAGGCAGACAGTTTGGTTGTCAGTGGCACTTGGTTTATCATGCTCTTCCCCATGTTTTATTTTGAAGTTCAAATCTAATATGAGGAAACTAAAAGTTTTCCTGAACACATGCATGTCCCTGTTTGAAATAAAAAATACACGCCAGGCCTCTAAAATCACATAAGTAAGGGCATTCAAAAAGGTGATTCAGGATACGCTCAAAGGACAAAGCATAGGCCTAATACGCAAGGCTTTCATCAGCTTTCCTGGCGTGATGTGAAGTAGCCCAGTTACCAGTCAAAACCTTCATGTGGATGATTATTGTCCATAAGGAACTTATGGTTAAGACTCAGGACCAAAAAGGGTAGGGAGTCCTATGGAGAGTGTCCGGGAGGGAAGTGTGGAGGCCGCTGATACGGCAGTGTGAGGCTATCAGTAAACATCAGGAGAATTACAGAAGTCGTATGTGGATGTGCTCAGTTAGTTTTCATGGCTCTAATCTTCAGGATTTAATCCCCTCTTAAGGTTTTAGAGATAAGACTTTTGGAAACATCTTGGATCAAGGGAACAAATCCTATATATTAAGTAAATACATTCATGTTGAAGTCTTATATGTATCAGGAAAGCAAGCGATTCAGAGGCATTCTTACTTGCTTTTTATTTTATTTAAACATTTTTTTCTTATGTTTTAGATCTACCATTTATTACATTCTTTGAAGGATACAAAAGAACAGATTAAATTTATTTGAGACCAAACAGATACAAGATCCCTTTTTTTAAGAGAAAAAAGCAAAACTTAATGTTCCTCACATAAATGATACCATACTAAGAAAAACTGTAAAAAAATACATTAAATATATCCATGTTCAGTGCAACAGTTTCAAGCATATCCAGAGTAAAGGAAAAATTACTTTGTGATATACAGTGGTGTACCCTGCTTTATTTTTTTCATTTAGAAGAGATCTATTTTATTTATTTTTATGTTTATTTATTTTATTGGAGTATAACATATGGTGCTATATCAGTTTTAGGTGCACAGCATAATGATACAAGAATTCTCTACATTACTCAGTGCTCATCATGATACGTGTACTCTTAATTTCCTTATCTATTTCATCCATCCCCCCTCACCTCCCTCCCCCCCCACCTTTTCATAATTCATGGTCAGCATATAATTGAGCTTGAGTTCAGGTTATATTTATACTTGAAATGACTTTTTTAAGTGGAAGAAAAATCATTTTTTTTAAAAGATTTTATTTATTTATTCATGAGAGACGGAGAGAGAGAGAGGCAGAGGGGGAAGCAGGCTCCCCAGGAGCAGGGAGCCCAAGGAGGAAAAATCATTTTTTTTTTTTTTAAAGATTTTATTTATTTATTTGAGAGAGAGAGGGAGAGAAACAGCATGAGAGGGGAGAGGGTCAGAGGGAGAAGCAGGCTCCCCGCTGAGCTGGGAGCCCGATGTGGGACTCGATCCCAGGACTCTGGGATCATGACCTGAGCCGAAGGCAGTCGCTTAACCAACTGAGCCACCCAGGTGCCCGGAGGAAAAATCATTTAAAAAAATGGTCTGATTGGTGATCAAGCATGGTGGTGTGAATGTATCCTGTTAAAAAAGGATACTGGGTCATTGCTTATGACATTATTCTTGATTAAGTGAGGCAGCCTTTGGGGTTCTTTTCCTCATTCTAGCCTCCATGCAGAACCACCTGGGTTTTGTTAAATCACAGACTGCTGGACCCTACTCCCAGATTTTCTCATTCAGTGGGTCTGGGATGGGGTTGAAAATTCGTAAGTTTACCCAGTTAATGCTGTTGCTGCTAGTCTAGAATCTACACTTGCAAAATCACTGCCTTAGACACATTTAAGTAAAATTAATTCCTAATAGATACCACTATGTAAGCTAGATTGAAATAATTAAAACTACCTTGACACAAATTTAAAACCGTCTTCCATGGTCTGTTTAAAGGAAGAGTACATGCCATAAATGTTACGTCAAATTTATTGTTACTGTATTTTTGCATCTCTTGCTAAACTATCTTAGATTCTGATGTTCATGAAGTTATGCTCCATTTTCTATGGGACTGAGCTGTGAGGAAGACTTTTTTTTAATGTTCTTGGCCCCTGAGATGGATCAGAATCATTCTATTCTGTATTATATTAGGATCCCACTATATTTAAACCATTATACAATTGACTTTGCTTATATTTTTTATTTGTTTTATATTTGTTCCCAGTCCTGGTATAAATGTTGCCTGTTAATACAGCCCTGGTTTATGAAGCATTCTTCTTGTGTGTATATATCCTTATTGAGATATACTTTACACACTGTAAAATTTACCCATTTAAAGTGTACACATTTCAGGTGGGTTTTAGCATAGTCACAGAGTTGCACAACCATCACCACAACCCTATTTTAGAATGCTTTCATTACCCCAGAAAGAAACCCTGTACTAATTAGCAGTCATTCCTCACCCTTCCTCTTCCTCTTACACACCCAGCCCTGGGTAACCACTAATCTACTTTCTGTCTCTGTGGATTTGCCTATTCTGGACATTTCATATAAATGGAATCATATAATATGTAGTCTTTTGTGATTGACCTCAGTTAGTATCATGTTTTCAAGATTCATCCATGTTGTAACTTTCTTTCTTTCTTTGATTCTTTCTTTCTTTTCCTTCCTTCCGTCCGTCCGTCCATCCATCCATCCATCCATCACGACTGGTTTATATTGCAGTGTATAGATTTACCACATTTTGTTTATGTGTCAGTTGATGGACATTTGGGTTGTTTCCAGTTTTTGGCTGTTATGAATAATGTTGCTATGAACATTTGTGTACAAGTTTTTGTATGGACATACCTTTTCATTTCTCCTGGATAGATACCTAGGAATAGAATCACTGGGTCATATGGTAACAGTATATTTAACACTTTGAGGAATTGTCAAACTGTTTTCCAAAGCAGCTGCACTATTTTACATTCTCCCCAGCAATGTATGAGGCTTCTAGTTTTTCCACATCCTCACCCCCAACACTTGGTAATCTTGTTTCTGTTTTTTTTTTTTTTTTTTTAATTATAGCCATCATAGGTCTGAAGTGGTATCTCATTGTGGTTTTGATGTGCATTTCCCTAATTACTAATGATGTTGAGCCTGTCTTCATGTGTTTATTGGCCATTTGCTTTTCCTATTTGGAGAAATATCTAATCAGATCCTTACCCATTTTTAAACTGAATTCTGTGTCTTTTTATTATGGTGTGGTGAGAGTTCTTTATATATTTTGGATACAAGTCCCTAATCAGATATATGATTTACAAATATTCTCTCCCATAGTATGGATTTTTTTTAATACTTTCTTGGTGATATTGTTTGTACCACAAAAGTTTTTAATTTTGATGAAGTCTTTCATTGATAGTGCTTTTGGTATTGTATCTGGGAAACCTACTCTGTCTACTCCAAGATCATGAAGATTTAGTGCTATGTTTTCTTTGAAGAATTTCATAATTTTAGCTCCTACATTTAGGTCTCTGATCCATTTTGAGTTAATTTTTGTGACGGTGTGATGTAGGAAGCCAGCTTTATTCTTTTGCATGTGGATATCCTGTTTTCCCAACACCATTTGTTGAAAAACTATTCCTTTCCCATTGAGTTGTCTAGGTACCCTTGTCAAAAGTCAATTGATCAGATTTCTGTATCAGTTAGGGAGGACGTTAGGTTTGAGGTTGGTGTTGAGGAGAGTACCGTGACTTCCAGTGCTCTGACGAAACCTCAGATGCCAAGCGTCTGCGATTTCATATTGTTGGAGCGTTCACTGTATCCCCGGGGGTTGCAGCATTCTGTAAGTCTGCTGTGGCCGAACCAAGAAAGAAGGCATACGCAGATTTCTACAGAAATTATGATTCCATGAAAGAGTTTGAGGAGATGAAGAAGGCTGGTATTTTTCAGAGTGCAAAATGATTTTGGAATGTAAAGAATTTCTTTGGGTTGAGTTCCATTGAAGTCTGTCACTGACCTGTGTTCCTGAACTATGAAATATGAAACATGAATATTGGGTTATGGAATAGTTTGTCTTGATAAATAAACAACTAACAACAACAACAAAAAAGTCAGTTGATCACAAATGTAAGGGTTCTGGACTGTCAGTTCTGTATCTTTGATCTTGGTTTGTTGAACATTTACATTAGTATTTTTAAAATTTATTTCTAGAAGTAATGACTTTTTTATGTGAAATGCTTCTTTTAAGATTTTATTTATTTATTTGAGTTAGAGCAAGAGTGAGCGAGAGAGAGAGAGCGCATGAGCCGGAGGTAGGGGCAGAGGGAGAGGGAGAAGCAGGCTCCCCACTGAGCAGGGAGCCTGATGTGGGGCTTGATCCCAGGACCCTGGGATCACGACCTGAGCTGAAGGCAGACATTTCACCGACTGAGCCACCCAGGCACTCCAAAATGTTTTTTCTTTTTAGCCTTAAAAACTATTACTAGGTAGTAATAATCTACCAAATTAGATAGTTATTAAAAAATAGACTTGTAAGCTGTTTTAAGCAGAAAACTTTGAATTATATAAAATTTCAGGCATTTTGTTTTTGCTCTTTTTTTGTTGTTACTTTTTTTAAATCATTTTTGTATTGCTTACTTATTAAAGAATGACCAGAACTTGAATAATTGCTAGAAAAAAATGTTTATGCCTTTACATTAGCATTATTATACAGAACAAGAAAGTACTGAAAACAGATGTCTGGAAAGTAGCAAAATTCAAATGAGTATTAAGTTTACTTGTGTGAAGAGAGGCTGTATTTTGTTCTATCATTGCATTCTGAATACCAAATAGCTTGTTTAAAAACAAGAGTAACATTTCTGAAAACATCGATGCTTCTTCATTTTATGACTCTTCACAAATATATGTGGTCTGCATACCTTTTTATCTTTCAGAGGCTACATTGCTGCTTGATTTTGTTTTCTTGGACAGCAGAGAGCATATAAAGTTCTTATCCTGGCATAATTGGCTTATTACCATCCTTCCGTTTCATGTGCATGTTACTAAACCAGGAATTCCCTCAACCGCTTGCATTTTGCAAAAATGCATCTTCATGTGTTTGTGCCAGTGCTGTATTTCCTGTTATATTGAATATAAGCAATGAACATATTTTAGATATCAGGCTGATGGCTGTGACTTTCATCTAGGAGTCTTTATCCGAAGTGGAAGAAAAATACAAGAAAGCCATGGTTTCCAACGCACAGTTAGACAATGAGAAGAACAATTTGATCTACCAGGTAGATACCCTCAAGGATGTTATTGAAGAACAGGAGGAACAAATGGCAGAATTTTATAGAGAAAATGAAGAAAAATCAAAGGTAATTGTGCATCTTGTATCATCCCTTTCTCTGGGTCAGAAAATTAGAACCTGCCATTTCGGAGGTGCTGGGCTTGATGGAAGAGCGCAGCATACCCGGGCCTGAAGCTGCAGTTGAAACTGATTGGTCCAAGGAAATTGACAAACATGAGATACCAGGTCTTAAGATATTTTCCTTTTTAAATTTTTATAAAATCTGTTTAATTTTCTTAAGGAAAATCTTATGACCTCCTTCATTTTCTGAAGATAGAATACAACTCAAATTTTATCTTTATTTTCTATCTCTTAATTTCTTCTTGTTTTAACTGGCTAGAATGCCACAAAGCTCTGAGGACTTTCAGTGAGATGGTTCATTTTTTCTTTTCTATAATTTTTTAAGATAATCTGTTTTCTAAATGATTGGAGAGAAGTTTTTAACCAGTTATTTAGAAACAGCAGGATGGAGACATGGGTCAGACGTCAACAGATGTTTTCTTTAGAGGTTTGTAAGTTATATTGTTAAAATGTGCAGATGGAAAATAAAAGCCACTGTCCAAGGTTCAGATTTGCCCTTTGACAACTGCGGAAAACAAATTGGCTTCTCTTACTGGATTTGGACTTTTTAAAGTGTTGATGTCAGTCCAAGCAGAGGACAAAAGGTTATTAGTGCCAAAAAAATGAGTTGTGACTACATTGCAAAAATAAAAATAAAAAGCCCAGAAAACAATTTAGGAAATGTACACAGTGAATTGTTAAAAACATCAGTAATCTGAAGGGAGAGAAGCTGTTTAATATAACCTCAAAGGGACTGGTATTAATACTATACACTCCAATGGGGATTTTTTTCCTTGAGGACTGAAAATGTTCATTGCAGTCTGTTTTGGTCATGTTTAAAATGTGTTTGGAAGTGTTTGTCAAGGGCTTGGGGGAAGGAAGGACGAATAGACAGAATATAGAGGATTTTTAGGGCAGTGATACTGTTCTGTATGATACTATACTAGTGGATACATTATTTTTGTCAAAGCCCATAGAATATATAACACCAAGAGTGAGCCTTAATGTAAACTATGGACTTTGGGTGATAATGATGTGTCAGTGTGTGCTCAGCACTTGTAACAAATGTACCACTCTGGTGCAGGATGTTAATAGTAGGTAGGAGAGGCTCTTTGTGGGGACAGGACTATATGAGAACTCTGTATTTTCCACTCAATTGCACCAACCTAAAAGTGCTCTAAAAAATAAAGTCTATTAAAAAAAAAGTTAGGATAAGAAGACTTGTGTCTATATAAGTGAAAAAGAGACCTCCGGATATTTTCATACTGGATGACAGGGCTCATTGAAGACTATGATTTGGTGGCATAGGTGGTTTCCTCTTTGATTCTTCCTGTTTCTCAAGGGCCAATTTCTGAGATTCTGAACTGTCATATTTTATGTAGAGCCCTTGGACTCCTTTTTTGCCTTTCCACGCATTTTTCATGTCTGTTTCTGGCTCTTTGTTTCTAGTAGATTAGAAGAAAATCTCATGGTAAGTATTTAATGTTCAGCACTAAAATGAGTTATTCCATCTTCTCAAATGCCCTTGAGCATTAAAAAAAACCAACAGGGGCGCCTGGGTGGCTCAGTCGTTCAGCGTCTGCCTTCGGCTCAGGTCATGATCCCAGGGTCCTGGGATCGAGCCCCGCATCGGGCTCCCTGCTCCGTGGGAAGCCTGCTTCTCCCTCCCCCACTCCCCCTGCTTGTGTTCCTTCTCTGGCTGTGTCTCCCTCTGTCAAATAAATAAAAATCTTTAAAAAAAAAAAAAAATAAATAAAAAAAACCCAACAACCCACAAACCTCTATGATTAACTTACTTAGGCAACTTAATATTTTTTTCCTTTTTTCTTTTTCTAGTATCTAGAGATGTGTTAGTCTACATAGAGCTGTGGTTTCTAATTTTTATGTAAAAAAAACCCTGTGCTTTTCAAATTAAAAAAATCCCAAGCAGGAGGAGGAACAGAGGGGGAGGGAGAGGGACAAGCAAGGGGCTCTATCTCAGGACCCTGGGATGATGACCTGAACTAAGTCAAGAGTTGGCTGCTCAACTGACTGAGCCACCCAAGTGCCCCTATAGATATTGCCTCATGCAGTAGAATGTTCACGTTCAGAGACCTACAGAGAGGTCAGGCACTCAGGTATGTTTCATTATAGCTCAGAAGGAAAGGGTAGAGAAGGACCATTCAATTATAACAACAATGGTATTAATACAATTTTTCAAAATGTCTTCAGTGCTTCCTGCTGGGATTATAATGACTGTATCTTAAATATTGTCTCTATACCTACTCTGGGGAAGAATGCCTGATTAGAAATGTCTCAAGTATATTATTTCCTTAATAGCTATTTATTTTAGTAGTGGATTCTTTTTCTTTCTTTTTTTTAAAAAAAGTTTTTAAACATTTTATGTTTAAAGTTGTTTTAACATTTTTAAAAAATGTTTTATTAGAGTTTTTATTTTATTTTATTTTATTTTAAGATTTTATTCATTTATTTGACAGAGAAAGAGAGCACACAAGCAGGGGGAGCAGCAGCAGAGGGAGAGGGAGAAGCAGACTCCCCATTGAGCAGAGAGCCTGACACGGGGCTTGATCCCAGGTCTCTGGGATCATGACCTGAGCCGAAGGCAGATGCTTAGCCAACTGAGCATCCAGGTGCCCCTAGAGGTTTTAAAAATACAGAAAATAGCGGACTATTCTGAACCCTCCTAAAGCCCATCATCTACCCCCAGCAACCATCAACCCATGGCCAATTTTGTCCTATTTCCCCCACTCCTGTTCTTTGAGACAAGACCTCAGTAGATCATATATTTTTTTAAGATTTTATTTATTTATTTGAGTGGGTGAGCGAGATAGAGCGAGCATGAGCCAGGAAGGAGCGGAGGAAGAGGGAGAAGCAGACTCCCTGCTGAGTAGGGAGCCCAATGTGGGGCTCGATCCCGGGACTCTGGGATCATGACCTGAGCCGAAGGCAGATGCTTAACGACTGAGCCACCCAGGCACCCCTCAGTATCTCATATTTTAATATGAGTTTAGGTATGACTCTAAACGAGAGGGACTCCCTCTTTTTTTTATAACCACAAGACCATTCACATCTAAAAAATTAAGAATAATTCCTTCATACTACGTATCCAACCATTGTTAAAATTTTAATTGTCTCAAATGTCCTAAGTGGTTTTCTTTTTTACACTTAAAAAAAAAACAAAACCCTGAGGATCCAGGTAAGTTCCATAAGTTGGAATTAGTTGTCATGTCTTTAAGTCTCTTTTTATTTATAGCTTTCCTTTCATCTCTCTCTCTTTTTTTTTTTTCCTCCCTTGCAATTTGTGTGTTGAAGAGACTGGATTGCTTGTCTTAACAGTTTCTGACAGCCTTAGGGATTTTCCTGTTTCATTCCTATGGTGTCTTTAATGTGTTCCCTTTTCCTCTGTCTTTTCTGTAAACAGGTAGTCAGGTTTAGAGGCTTAACCAAATACAGGTGCAGCATTTTTGGCAAGTCTGCTTCACGGGTTATCTTCTGGCAGGAGGCCCTGATGTATGGCCCTTTCTTTTTATAATGCTGTTGCTAGATGCTTTGATCTGTTAGTGGATCAGGGGTTACAAAATGGGATATATTAATTTTATCATTACTGTTTCATATTTCTTGTATTATTTTAAAATGGATTGGAGATAAAATTCACATACCATCTAATTCGTCCTTTTAAAAGGGTACAATTCAGGGGCTTTTGTATATTCATATTATGTGCAGCCGTCCCAGTTAGTTTTAGAGGACTGTGGTCATGTCAGAAAGAAGCCCCTGTACCCTTTAGTTGTCATTGCTCTGTCTCCTGCCCCTCAGCCCTGAGTAACTCGTCCACTTTCTGTCTCTATAGATTTCCCCATTCTAAACTTGCAGTCAATAGAGTCATAGAATATGAAGGTGGCTTTTGAGACTGGCTTCTTTTATTTAGCTGAACTATTTTTGACATTCATCTGTGTTGTAGTGTGGGTGACTACTTCATTACTTTTTATGGCCTCATACTACCCCATTGCGTGGGCATACCACATTTTCTTTGTTCATTTGTGTGTTGATGCACATGCTATGATGAATAATGCTGCTGTAAACATTTGTGTACAAGTCTGTGTGTGGACATATGTTGTCCTTTCTGTTAAGTGTATACCTGGGAAGGGAGTTAGTTGCTGGATCATATGGCAGCTCTATGTTGAACCATTTGAGGAATGCCAGACCATTTTCCACAGTGGCCGCACCATTTCATGTTCTCACCAGTGGTGTATGTGAGTTCTGATTTCACCACAGCCTCATCAACACTTAGTATTGTCTGACTTTTTTTCTTTTTACAGCCTTCCTAGCAGCTGTGGTTTTGATTTGCATTTTCCTGATGACTAATAATTATGAGTATATTTTCATATGCTTCCTTGGAGAAATAGCTATTCAGATCTTTTGCCTATTTTTATTTTTTATTATTTTTTTTTAAAGATTTTATTTTTTTGAGAGAAAGAGAAGAAAGAGAATGAGAGAGAGAGACCACAAGCAGGGGGAGGAACAGAGGGAAAGGAAGAAGTAGACTCCCCGCTGAGCAAGGAGCCTGATGCAGGGCTCCATCTCAGGACCCTGGGATCTGAGCTGAAGGCAGATACTTTACTGACTGAGCCATCCAGGTGCCCCTCTTTTGCCTATTTTTAAATTGGATTTTTTTTTATTATTGAGTTGCAAAAGTGTATATATTCTAGATACAAATCCTTTATCAGATACAACTTAAAAAATATTTTAAAATATCATTATGAAGTCAAGAATACAAGCGTTTGATGATCTGAATTCATTGTAGCTTTTATTCTTTTTGATTTTCAAATTGTTCAACCTTTAACTAATCTGAACATGTTCAGGTTGATTACCAAGTAATTTTGACATGAGTCTAAGTTGTTTTTTTTTTTAAATAAATTCTGTCTAGCACAAGAAAGTGTTCCAGGCTCATCTGGTACATTTCCTGCTCCAGACCTGGAGCTGTTTGTCCAAGGAGCTTTGGTTCTTTTAGTGGGGTGATGTGGGCGCTGGAGAGCTCTTGCCACCAAGAAGATAACTGTTTATAAAGGCCTTTTTAGTGGAATATCAGGGAAATATTTATGTGGGATACTTTTTTATTTTTAAAGTCAAAATATATTATGAATTTATGCTAGTAGTTCTAGTTCATGTTCAGGACTCTGGCATTTTTCCTTACCCTCTCTGTTTTACATATGTGTATCTCTTTTTTCCCACTGCCATGCCAGTTCTCAGAGTCACTGGGGGATGATAGTAATTATGTTATATTCTGTTCTCTTTGCTCTATCCCACAGTGCTCAGAATAGCAATACCAATGTCGCCACAAGTGATATAATTACTGAAAATAGTTAAAAGTTTTTTGTTTTGTTCTGGTTGGCTGTTATTTTGCTGCTATACTATGTATAGTCCAGCCATTGTTTTTTAAAAGTTACTCAAAATAGTTTTTCTGTGCTTATGCTGCTAACTGGATGTATAATTTAGGCTCACTGCATTTTATTTTCAATACTTAGGAATTGCTTTAAAAATTTTTATCTTTAGACTATTTTTGCTTTTAATTGTGATAAAAAGTATAACAAAATTTACCATCTTAACCATTTTAAGGTGTTACAGTTCAGACAGTTCAGTAATATCAAGTATATTCACATTGTTGTGCAATGGGAACTTTTTCATCTTGCAGAACTGAAACTCTGTACTCTTTAAACAATAGCCCCCCCCGCCGCCCCCAGCTCCTGGCAACCACCATTCTTCTCTCTCTCTCTCTCTCTCTCTCTCTGACTTGGGCTACTCTGGGTATCTCATAAAAGTGAAATCATGCAGCATTTGACTTTTCGTGACTGGTTTCATATAATGGTTTCAAGGCTTATCTATGTTGTATTATAGCATGTGTCAGAATTTCCTTCCTGAATAATAATATTCCGGTGTATGTATGTACCACATTTTGTGTATCCATTCATCTGTCTGTGGACACTTGGGTTGCTTCCATCAGGAATTGCTTTTTGAATTTAATTTTGTTTTAGAGTTACATAAGATATCTACATGTATCTGAAGTGAAATCAACAAAGAAGTCAGTCTTCTATCTCTGTTCATCCCTATTTCTTGAGGGGATTTTTTTAAATGCTTTATCCTTCCATTTTTTAACTTAAGAAGATAGATATATTTTGCTATTTGAAAAAGTATATACAAATATGTTTTTTACCCCCCCTTTCTTAGAAAATGGTAGCATACTATAAATACTGCTTGACACCTTGCTCTTTATCACCTTATGACTGTGGGTCTTCGTCATTCCTTGGTATTACTCCATAGTGATTCCATGGTGCACATGTACTATAGTTTATTCCACCAGCTCCCTGTTGATGGACATCTGAATTGTTTACAGTCTTTTGCTGTTAAAAATAGTGCTGCAAAAATGATGTACTATGTAGTACATAGTCTTCTTGCATTTTTGCCAGGATAGCCAGGGGAGTCATCAAAGTGGGTTTATTGGGTCAAATGGCATGCTCATTCTGCTGGATACTGCCAGTTTTCCCTTTGTATTAGTTATACCGTTTTGGATTCCTGCCAGAATGTACGAGAGGGTCTGTTTCCATCCCCATAGTATTTTCCTGAATACGTTGTCAAGTTTTTGGACTTCTACTAGTGTTTAAGTGAGACATACAGTTTTAATTTATTGTTCTTTTAGTATGATCATCTTTTTATATTCAGAGTGATTTTCTTTTTCTGTGAACTGTCCATTTCTTAAGACTATTTTACTGTTTTTTTCTTTTTAGAGGCTCTATATAGAAAGACAATAACCTTCTGTTTCTGATATAAGTTGCAGGGTTTTTTTTGTAGTTTATCATTTGTGTTTTTACTTTGCTTAGAGTGCCTTTTGCCATTCAAAAGTTTTTATGTAGTCTAACATTACCCATTTAGCTTTCTTGCTGGTGGATTTTTAGGTCATTTTTCAGTAACATTTTTTTCCTACTCTTTGGAATTCACTCATTTTTTCCTCAAGTAACTGTATCCTTCTTTCCTTTTCTCTTTTTTTCTCTCTTTTTTCCATACACTTCCAATCCATTTGAAATTTGTCCTGGTGTATAGTGTGAGGTGTGGTTCCAATTTCCTTTTTCCATTTGGATATCCAGTTATTCCAACCTCACTTACATAAAACTATCTTTTCTCACTGATTTGAGATGATCTTTTTGTTTTGTTTTTGCTTAGTACATTTGCACATGTAACTGGGTGTATTTCTGGATTTTCTCTTCTCCTTTCATCTGTATTCAAAAGCCCTTACAAACATTGTTTTAATTATATTGACCTTACGTCTAGTGAAGCTAGCTTTCTTCTTTATCATTATTTTTTTTCTGGCTGTTTTTTCTTATGTTTTTCTTCCAAATTTTATAATCAATTTGTCAAGCTCTGATGAGAAAAAAGTCTAATGGTATTTTTATTTGGACTGCATTAAATGTATAGATTAATTTGGGGGAGAACTGACATTTTTATGATACTAAGTCCTTTTATCCAAGATAGTATGCCTTTCTATTTGGTCCTACTTCTCTGTCCCTCAGGAATATTTTATATGATTTTCCTCATACTGATTTTGGGTATTTCTTGTAAGTTTACACGTGTGTTTTTAAAAATTTTATTTTTTGATATTGTGTTTATTATATTTTCTCTCTAGATTTTATTTATATTTATGAGGATTATTGGATTTTATATGTTAATTTTGTAACCTCTTACTTTATTAAGTCTTCTCATCGTTCTTAGTAATTTTGCCATTGATTAGTCTGGGTTTTCTAGCTATATACTCCTAGGAGATGAAAAATGTTAATTTTCTGAACCTTTCCATAGAATACAGAATTTTTCTAAGTTATTATGCATGGGAAGTCCAAGTATGTGTCTGGAGGTCAGTCTTAGCCTCTGTATTATTATATTGTAGATGTGCCAGTTTGTTGTGTGCCATTATCTGTATAAGCTGTATCATTTGTTTATTAACAGGAGTTAGAAAGGCAGAAACATATGTGTAGTGTGCTACAGCATAAGATGGATGAACTTAAAGAAGGCCTTCGACAGAGAGATGAGCTCATTGAGGTATGTGCATGAACCGTGGAAATACTTAATTTTGAACAAAATGCATTGAATGGGACAAGGGGGTTGGTGTGTGTTGGGAGGGAAGGGAGTTAAAATGCCACAGAGTTTCCTTGTCTCTTCATCTTGGGTGTACCCTAAAATTTCACACTCATGAAACATAAAGTCAGGCTTAAAAAAAGTTAATGCTACCAACCTTTTCTTTTTTTTAATGCTACCAACCCTATAAACATTCCCCCTTGTAATAGCAAAAGCTTTTGTAATTATCTTTTATTCCTAAGCACATTGTTTCCTAAAGATATCTTAGGAGATGGGCAAAAGGAAAAATTATGAGCACCATTATTCTTTGGAATGTAGTGAATGCTGTCTGCTGGGACAGCATTCTTGGTGAATTAGACATTTGCTCTTCACTGAGGTAGATCTGTTCTGCGGCAGCTAAAGGAAAAGAGCTAGGCAAGAAAGACAGCTTCTGTACGCAAACCTGGAGGTTGGCAGGTTATGCTGGTGGAGGAACCCCTGAGTGCCCCAGTGTTGGCAGCATCCTTAGGAATGTGAAGCAGTGGGGTCCACCAAGAAATCTTTGTAAGCATTTATTGTCCTTTTGTTCCTGCTACCTTGTGAGCATCTCTGTTTTTCTTTAAATGTGGTTTTTCCTCTTGAGGAGGGTTTTCCTCGTGTATTATAAGTATGCCGGGAAGGGATCCTCCTCACTGGCATGCTGTGGTTATCAAAGGTGTCTTATGTTAACTTAATGTTGATGACAGGGGGAGTGATTTCAGGAAGGCCAGTTCTTCCTGATCCCTGGGAGATGCCTCCCGCACCACACGCACCACACTCATACTCATCCACATTCCTGTCGCTCAGGACCCACCCCGCCCCCACTTTGTTCCCCTCCCTGCTCCTAATCTCTCACCCTGTAAATGACTTTAAAAAAAAAAATTTACTAGAGGAAAACAAATGACTACTTTTCTATTTGTGGATTTGTGTTAACTTTTCTTCATTCTTGAGAATGATTGAATTGAATGTAGCCTGCAGATTCAGTTTGTGAATGCTAAATGAAGACACAGATAACCCTTTGAAAATACCAGATTACACGTGAAGTTAGTTGTCCTAGTTTTTCCATTTTTGGCATGAAAGCATATTATCTAAATTTTGTATCCTCCTGGTATTTAAAAATAATGAGAATTCCTTTCCTTTTTTGTCCTTTTGTGTTTTTTGTGTCTGTATGCCAGCCACTTGCTATTTCTTTTTCTAATTAAGATACATACTTTTCCCCACTTTTGATTTCAAAAAAGAATAATAAAACTGCTTTGGCAGCTGCTTCTCAGATTTAGTAGTTTAAGTTAGAATTGGTTAAGTGTTTTAGTTTTTAATTTGATGATTGTGCTTAAGAGGAATTATAATGCTTGATTCCCATAACTTGGCACTGTGGTTTCTTTAAAAGCGGAGGGTGCTATAGTGCAAACTTTAAAGACCTTAGTTTTAGGAGTTTTCCCGTTTAGAATTAACATCTCTTAGATGTTCATACCCATGCGTATGTGTAACTGAAAAACCTTGAATATGACAAAATAATGCTTTTTGGTCTTTCACGGTAAAGTAGATAAGAAATGTGTAAGTAGGAAAAGTAGGAAATGGTAATTTACCAATAATTCTTAAAAGAAAACCTGTTACATATTCAAGGGTATAAATTGAGCCTCGTTGTTTAAGAATTGCTACATGCTGAATTCTAGTTTTTCTAAAAAACTAGACTAAACTAAAAAAATATGACTGTTCCTTCAAATTCATGATATTCTTGCTGTCGTAGGTTCTGCTAACAAATTCAAAATGATTAAGCTGAGATATGTCTTGTATTTTTTAGTTCTGCTTAAGAAAATAAAGTTTAAAACTACGGCTTGTTCTCTGTGTTAAGGATCATGTGTTCATGAGCAAATCTGAATTTCCCTCTCTAGAAATGTAAGTTGCTCCATGTTTGGAAAAAAGGCAGTTCTCAGAGGAAGAGCACACACACGGAGCTGTGTGTACACACGAACCCTAACTGGCTTGCTGCCACAGAGCTGTTCTTCCCACTTCCCTTGTGGCAAGCCAGCGGGAGTCCTGTCGCCAAGACACTGGATGTCATCTTTCCCTTTAGCGAGCAACTCTTTGCCTGTTGAGCACAGACTTTCTTTCTCCCTTTGTTAAGTTTCTTTATCAGCTTTATTTTTTGTTCTCTTTTCCTCCCTCTGACCCCCTCCGTTTTTTCTTTCTGCTCTTTTATTACTTCTCTCCCCACTTCCTCTGCAGGAGAATCAGCGAATGCAGCAGAAAATAGACACCGTGACAAAAGAGGTGTTTGACCTCCAGGAGACACTTCTTTGGAAAGATAAAAACATTAGGGTATGAAATGAAATTGGGCTTTGGTCTGAAGCTCATCAATGAGGAATAGACCAATATAATTTAACTTAGAGATTCCTAAAAATCTGTCCTTTTGGTTATTTTTGAGCATTTATACACTGAAATGGGAATAAGGAGAAGACAGAAGAAAACTTCCAGGGGGAAAACTTGATACTGTGCCTGGAAAGAACTCTTCTTGCTAGCAGGACTCTGGGCTTTGTGAAACCTACAAAGTAGGAACTTTCTAGGGAAGTTTATTTCCCCAGGATTCTCATCCAGAAGCAGCCACAGGCATTTAATTCAAACTCTGTGGGTAAACTTGATATTCTTACATTGCAAGAATTTTGGATGAGAAGCAAGAGAACAGTCAGTGGGGGGTGGAGGACAAGTAATTAGCATCCCATAAATCCTTGGTGAATAAAATAGGAAGAGATTAACATCAATTTAGTTACGGAAGTGGATAGGAATGTAAGATTTGCCAGAGTTGCCAAACCATGACATCATCTCTAATTATAACCCCATGACTCCCCAAAGCGGGGGCCCAGATAAGGAAAGTCTTCAGTGCTTTTTTTGCACAGGAGGCTGGAAAAATTCCCACCAGTTCATCCTGTGTCACCCTTTGACATGCGCCCCATCTCACGCTGTGAGCTCTCTGTTCCCTGTGCTGCACTGGGGGTGCCACACAGCCATAGCTGCCAGAGGCTTACCTTTTCTGGGAAGGGCTATGGCAGAGGAAGCATAGAGAAGGAAGGAAGCCCTTGTCCTCAGAACACAGAAAGTTTTGTTCTGCTTGAGGTTAGGTGGCATAGGGAAAAGTTGGCAAAGATCCCCAAGAACACCTGTGATAGACATGCCTGGATGAGCAGTCTTCTGGGTCATAGCCTTCATTGTTGGGGGGAGGGGTTCTCGCATCCAGTTCTTTTCATACATCCAAGGACATATCCTCTTTTTTTTTTTTAAGATTTTATTTATTTATTTGAGAGAGTGAGAGTGCACCAGCTGAGGGGGGGGGGTGCAAAGGGAGAGGGAGAAGCAGACTCCCCGCTGAGCAGGGGCCCTACTTGCTGGATCCTAGGACCCTAAGATCATGACCTGAGCAGAAGACAGACACTTAACCGACTGAGCCACCCAGGTGCTGCCTCCCATCCTCTTACTAATAAACACATGGGAAACAAAATTACTTCTTAAGAGCTTTTAATATTTAAATACTGAGTTTCTAAAATTCCACCCAAAGCTAGAAGAGCCTTCTGGAATATAACAACTGTTGAGTTTTGAAATTTTGATTGTGAACTACTGATCTTATTTACATTTTTACTTGGGGAATTTAAAATGAGATGTGAAAACATGTATGGCACAAAGTAGGTAATTTGTAAAGGTTAGTTAAAGTCTGGTCACTAGAATGGTCTTCTTTTAGGACCTTAACATAATTTTCTTTATGTTATTGTCCATGATTTGTAGGTCCATGATTTCTATTTTGTATAATTATCTTAGTATTTACACTGATTATTTTGGATCAGCCATAGGAAAACCCCAAACCACTCAGTCCAATAAAATAGCTATTCAAAATAAAACAAAAATTTATTTTCTACCAAAAAGATGTGCTCATAGTTAAGACAAGTTATTTGACTTTTAAATATTCATGGCATTGTTGAATGAGTAAGTGGCTATCTTCTTTCTGTATGGTATATAATAATGTGTTCCTTTGGCTTTTTAAAAAAATTAAACTTAGGGCTCCTGGGTGGCTCAGTTGGTTAAGCCACTGCCTTCGGCTCAGGTCATGATCCTGGAGTCCCGGGATCGAGTCCCGCATCGGGCTCCCTGCTCAGCGGGGAGTCTGCTTCTCCCTCTGACCCTCCTCCCTCTCATGCTCTCTGTCTCTCATTCTCTCTCTCTCAAATAATAAATAAAATCTTTAAAAAAAAAAAATTAAACTTAAAAAAACTTTTTGAGGTAATTGTAGATTCACATTCAGTTGTAAGAAGTAATACAGACAGGTCCTGTATGCCCTTTATCTAGTCTTCCCCAAATGGAACATCTTGCAAAAACTATGGTACAGTATCACAGCCAGGAAACTGACCTTGCTATAGGCAAAATACAGAACATTTTCACTACCACAAAGGATGTCTCCTGTTGCCCTTTGATGGCCTCATCTACTACCTTCTCTACTCCTCCCCAAGCCCTGGCAACCACTAATCTGTTCTCATTTCTGTAATTTTGCCATTATAAGACCATTATATAAATGGAATCAAAAAGTATTTAACCCTTTGGGGTTATGTTTTTCACTCAGCATGATTACCTCAAGATTTATCCAAGTTGTGCGTATCAGTAGTTGGTCCCTCCTTTGACTTTTTAGGAAACTCTCTCAATTGTGGTAAAATACAAATAACGTCAAGTTTACCACTTTAACCATTTTTCAGTGTAGAGTCTGGTGGTATTAAGTACATTCACACTGTTGTGCTGCCGTCACCACCGTCCATCTCCAGAGCTCTTTTATCTTGCAGAACCAAAACTGTGCCCATTAAACAGCTCCCCACGTCCTCTTCCCTATAGTTCCTGGCAGCCACCATTCTACTTCGGGCATGTGTCAGAATGTCCTTCCTTTTTAAGGCCAAAGGATAGTTCATTGTACATATGTACCACATTTTGTTTATCCATTCATCGGTTGGTGAACAGATACTTGGTTTGCTTCTACCTTTTGGCTATTGTGGATAATGCTGCTGTGCACATGAGTTTGCAAATACCCCTTTGTGGCCCTGCTTTCATTTCTTTGGGTTGATACCCAGGGGTGGAATTGCTGCATAATATGGTAGTGGTATGTTGAAGTTTTTTGAGGAATATCCATCCAGACTGTCTTCCACAGCAGCGGTACCATTTTCCATTCTCATCAGCACTGCACAAGGGTTCCATGACCAGCACTTGTTTCTGGTTTTTCTGATAGCCATCCTAGTGTGGTCCTCCCATGACTCGCACAAGACACATTTTCAATTTAGTCAGTGACTACCTCACGTATCCCTTGTCTCCAGTTTCATTTTCAAGATTTAAAGTTAGTAACTTAATAAAGGAACGTGACCTTTATTCTCATGTTAGAGTTTGGTTTTCTTTGGCTCTCCTTCATCGATCCTTGTGGTCATGCTCGTAGCCCTAAAGCAGTTCCAAGTGCCAGGTGGCTACATGTGGAATAAGCACATACAAAGGACTGGACTGGTGTATCTGGATAGCCCCGTGTGAGACTCCATCCCATTCTGACTAAAGGTATTTCTGGCCCCATGGAATTATATGGAGAAATAACCTTTTGCCCCCAGAGTTCAGCCTGTTACACATATCTTTCAGGCTTCTTGACACTAGAATTTGAGGTTAGGTCAGGGGTAAAGAATTATTTAGGTCTCCACAAGCATGTAGTTTTTATTCTAAGCGGGGAAAAAAATCTGTAAGAGCTATTATTGAATGCAAACACAGGGTAGCGGTTTTATGGTCAGGTGCTACAGAGGATTTCAGATCTGGTGTGACTACATTTGCTCCAATTATAAGGTATTTCAGTAGCCCCCAAACTTTGTGGTGAAATGGGAGAACTTATAGGATGTATTTTATTTTCCCGTCCATAATTATGGGAAGATGAAGTTAAAAAGTCCAAAACCAAAGATAAAACCCATTGCTATAATATGTAGGAAGAAGAGCAAATGGCATTTTGTAGCATTTGCTAGAATTTCTAGTTTCAAATTGGTCTGTTCCTAAAAGATCTTGTGTATTTAGTGGTGTTGTTTATGTAGAGCATGTTGTGGCAGTGATCACTGACCCGGTTATACATGGTGATGCATGGCATAACTATGCACGCAGATACTGATAACCCACAAATATCTAACCCCGCAGAGGTTAAAGTGTCTGTCAACAGATGGGAAAATATTGCTTGTGCTTCTTTTGTCCTGATGTTAACATTTGTTATTAATGTAATGGAGTAATAGTAGCTTGAAGTGTTAGGGTAAATGCCTCGTGATGCTAGAAACTGAAATGATTAATACAAAAGCAGACTCAAGACATGCCATATGGTGTGAATGTAAATTGCTGGAAGGAAATTAGATATTGGTGTTGCAGTTTGGGTAAGTACGGGGTAGGGCTACTTATAGGCTACTTTTCCAGCAGCATCTGGGATGACAGTAAGGAAACATAATTGTGGCCTTCTTGGGGCTGTGATATAGAAAAAGTGTGCAAAGGCTTTGAAACCAAAAAGAACTGGATTCACTTTCTGACTTTGGCACTTACTGTGACTTTGGGCAAAAAAAATTATATATAAAACCTCTGAGCTTCAATTTTCTGATCTGTGAAATGGGGATAAGACAAGTGCAGGATATATAAGGGAGAAATTATATATATATAAATATATTACGGCAAGATTATATGTCTTTGTAGCAGTGCCTGTTGTATAGTTCGAGCCACATGGTTGGTGGTCGCTAGCGTCCCTTATCGCCAGTTCGGGTGCACGGTAAGATTAGAATGATTTAGAACATTGTCCAACTACTCAGCAGTCAGTAATGAAGCAGTTGGCCCATTTCTAACCCCATAAGGCTACAGGAAAGTTACCTGTTGTAGTTTAACTTTGTGGCCTATTGGGGCTGTTGGGAGAAAATATGAAATATAGGAACACTTGTGTAGAGAAAGGCTTTTTCAGAATAGTCCAGCCGTCAGGTGTCTGCATAGACTGCCTGCCTGGGGTATGTTTTGAATTCTGGGTTATTTCATTACATAGAACAGATCCGATTTGTCACTGATGACCCAGGCGTGTGTCTGCTTCTGCCCCGTTGGCCGCAGCTCTGACAGTTGTGATTCAGGCGGGGGGCGGGGTGGGGGGCTGGCGATCCAAGTGGAAAGAAAGTGGTAGGCTTTTCCTGAGCCTTCCGGGACTCGCACAGCAGCAGTGCTTATGCTGTGTACATGGGGTGGTGCTGCTGTCGTCCCTTCTGTCGCTCAGATGAGAGATCTGAGGCTTACGTAAGTGAGTACGTGCCGGGACTCGAAAGCCTGACCCCCAAACCTATATTCTGCGGCACTCCATAGGTGGGCTGTATTTATTTTGTCAGTGTTTTATTTTCCTTTTTCCCATTTAGAAAGGTGTATCAGAAACCAGATTCTTAATTGTATTTAACTAAATTACAAAACACAGGTCCTTGGGAATCCCTTTGGAGATTAGCTATTTTGAATTAAGTGGTATTTGAGGAATATTTTGCGGCACTGCTTGGAGAACACTCACTATAGCCAATATTTAATTAAAATACCTTGTGCATACTGGTTATTTTTTCTTCCAGGGCCATTAAAATTTTTTTAACTATAAAATTAGTCTTCCTAGTTAAGAAATTTCACTGTGTTCTTGAATGAACAATTTTAGTTAAACGTGAAATGTATTTGTTTGCTTGTTTGGGTCACCATATGAAAATGTAGTAAGGTCAGTAAGGAAAACTTTAATATGACTGCTGTCTTCATCTTCCTTTTCCTGTTTTTTTCCATCAACTGGAAAAGAAAGATCAGTTCTCCTGCCTGATGTGATAAGCATGTTTTGGCGAATTGATGCACGATTAATCAGTTTCTGTTAAAACTCTCCTGTGGAGATGTGTGTCCATATGACTTTGTACTTCTTCCCATATCTAACTGCCGGTCTCCAAGCTTTTACCGCCCCCTTGTCTTTTATGCCCTTGTCTTTGTTTATTTGAAGTAGGTGCTAGGTGCTCTCTGCTACCTCTTTCACTTGCTCTTTTTCTGTGCCATTCTTTCCCTTGCTGCCCTGTCTAAAACCAGGCCCTAGAGAAACAGAAAGAATACATTGCCTGCCTTAGGAATGAGCGAGATACGCTCAGAGAGGAGCTGGCTGACCTGAAGGAGACAGTGAAGACAGGAGAGGTACGTTAGCTTTAGCCTGGAGTTCCAAGTCCCTCACTGCTTTAGTCTTCCTTCCTTTCATCCTGTTATTTTTGTCAGCCCGAAGACAAACCAGTGTTCATTCTTCAGTGCAGATTTGGTAGGTTTCAGTCATTTCTTCTACGGACCTATATTCCATGTAACTAGTTCTAACCTGGTGTTATCTGTGGCAAACATATTGTCGCAGTCACCTCACAGAGCATACTGCCATGTGGGCCATGTTTTGTGACCGTGGGTTTTCTCCTTCTCCACAGAAACATGGCTTAGTTATAATCCCCGATGGCACTCCCAATGGTGATGTCCGTCATGAACCAGTGGTTGGAGCCATCACCGTGGTATCTCAGGAGGCTGCTCAGGTCTTGGAGTCTGCAGGAGAAGGTCCACTAGGTAGGACACGGTTGCTGTTCTGTTGGCTTGGGTTTACTGTTCTGCTAGACTTCCGGCTTACTCATAGCCCATCTTGGAAAACAAAAACAACACAAGGGCTGTCTGAGGTTTAACTGAATTCTTCACAGGAAGAAATCTGGGCACAGTGTCTTTAGGCACCCTTGAACTTGGGAAACCAGCATCTGGGTCACTGTAAGGCCTCTGGATGGAAGCACGTTGGTGTATACACATTGCTTTTTTACTTAAATACAAACCTTCCTGGAAGAGAGAATCCAGCGTATGTGTCCCAAGGAACCGGTGGGCTGGTAGGGGACTTCCCCAAGTGTGTTTTAAGTTTCTGCTTCCTGGAGAATCTGGTTTTATGCTCTGCTACTTATCCCAGGGTCCTGTAGCTCTTTGCTACTGCATTTCTTAAGGCAAGAAACAGGTGACCAAGAAGTCAGATCTCAGAGGAGTGTTCTTTCTAGAGCAGGGCTTCTGAGCCTCTTAACATCTAAGCCTCTTAAATTTAAGCCTTTGAGACTTTAATAACACCTCTCCCAGGAAACCACACAGATGCCCATCCACTGGCTCCACAAAGAATTCTGCTCTAGAGGAGGGAAAATAGCACAGATACTCTAATGCCAGCTCACTTTTTTTTTCTTTTGTTTTCATACATGTGTAGGTTTCCTAGAGGAGTGGGACTTTGTCAGAGTTAGTAAACACATTCTCCGATGCACAGAATTGCAGAAACAGAGCACTTTGATATAGCAGAGGATGCGGGCTAGGCAGTGGGAGCTGCTCTAGAGAATGCACTGAGTGTGTGGCTGGGGGCAGCCCAGGGCTTCCCCTGCTTGCTTGGAAGGTACTGGGGAAGCCAGCACTTAACATTTGGCCGTGACCCTAGTTGGTTGTGGGAGGCACTGGCTCGGTGTCGCCTGCTGCTTGTACTCATCTGTGGTCCCCCTCACCCTGAGGGGCTTGTGTTAATGGCATGCTTGGGAAGCAGCGGCCCTCCCCCCAGGCCAGGAGCAAGCCCTGGCCATCCTGCCGCCAGGCCTCAGATTAGCCCTTGACGGGCCCACACCTCTGAGTTGGGCCCCGTGCTCGTCTGTGTAGGCCTTTGCTTCTTCTTTGTCGTGTTCTCGTTTTCCCTGTTCCACCCTCCCCACCCAGGCCCCTTCGTACCCCGTCTGTCTTCTCTCCCAGATTTTGTTTGCTCCTGTGGGAGCACCCCAGCATTCTAGTTGTCTGTCTGCTGGTGAAAGCTTGCACGTCTTTTTTTTTTTTTTTCTTTAAGATTTTATTTATTTTTCGACAGAGAGATAGCGAGAGAGGGAACACAAGCAGGGGGAGTGGGAGAGGGAGAAGCAGGCTTCCCGCGGAGCAGGGAGCCCGATGCGGGGCTTGATCCCAGGACCCTGGGACGATGACCTGAGCCGGAGGCAGACGCTTAATGACTGAGCCACCTGGGCGCCCGCTTGCACATTTCTGAAATAAGGAAGTGATCTTTGTACTTTGGTTTGTCTTGCAGTGGAAAATCACTGCCCTTGGGAGCAAATGTTGTATTTAGTGCCTTGATAGCTATCCGTTGTGTGGAAATATGTGTTGAATAATTAAGTACTTTTCCTTAGCACCTTTAACTTAAGCCTTCATTTTTTTTGATATTGAAAGCTGTAAGTTATCAGATAATGTATGCTGTTTTTGAATTTCAAGAATAATTTTTAATTGTTTTGGTATTATATCCTCACAAATTTAGTTTACAACCTTTTCCATTTGTTTTAGATGTCAGGCTACGAAAACTTGCTGGAGAAAAGGAGGAGCTACTATCACAGGTAAAGGCATTCTTCTCACCGGAATGTAATGTTAATTTAACGGACTAAATAAATCACATGGCAAAACATTAGTGAATTAAAATATACACAAGAAAGAAACATGCTTATTTCAAACACCAGTACTCAAGATTTGAAGGACAAAAAGATAAATTCATATTTTGCCTCTTTGTTGTTTCCTGTTCTTTAAAAAAAAAAATGTATCAGACGTGGAGTTTAAGGAGTAAAATAGTGGTACAAAGCTTGTCAAGACAGGAGTTCCGTGCTCTGCCTCCTCATGTTTACCCCTGACCATTCTGATTGGTTTAGCACATTCTCTCCATGTGTCCTATTCTTGTGTATTTCCGTCCCACACGCTCACGTTGCTTCTTGATGGTTCTGTTTGAGGCACTGTTGACATCCTTCTGTGGAAGAAGACCATCTAGCCTTCTGTCCCCAGCACGCACACCCTTCCCATCCCCTGTCGTCCTGGTGAAGGCCTGGCGCACCTCCCGTCTGCGTGTGTTCTCAGGGCTCGTGAGTGCCACTTGCCGTGGAGCCCTGCAACATTGCAGGGCCGCCTTTCCTCCTCTTCACAGCTCTAGCTCCCCCAGAGTTAATCCTGTGGCTTTTCTTTTCCTCTGCTTGGTTTCCTGTGTATTTATTACCAGTGTAGCTGCCGCATCTGCAACAGTAGTTAAATCTGCTCTTAGCGTTTTCAGATGCACCAAGTATTCTCTCAGTTCCACTTGCTGAGTTCTTGGAGCATCTGACCTGGCCCATTGGGAACATCATGGCCCGCTCTGTCTGCACCCAGCTAGCCTGCCCTTCGTTGCTACCTAGGCTTTCCCCTGCCTGTGGTTCAGGTTGGATTCCCTTTTTGCAGTGCCTTAGGCCTTCCTCCTTTTTTATTTGTTCTCTTTTTGGTACATCCCCCAGTAACTTCCTGAGAAAAGGGTATATAGGCTGTAAATTTTTCTTAACTTTGGAGGCCTGAAAATGGCTTCATTTTACTCTATTACTTAACAGTTTGGATATAGAATTCTTCATTGCAATCATTTTCCTTCTTTTTTTTTTTTTTTTAAAGAAATTGCTTCCTTGTCTCTGGCTTCCAATATGGAAGCTAGCATGTTGAGGATTTCAAGGGCATTCTGATTTTTCATCTTTTGTATGTGACTCTTTACCCTCTCTGGCGGCTTATATTGTACTTTCTCCTTCCTATTTGGAAGTTTCACAGTGATGTGGTTTGGGCCCCTGTCAATTCTAGGAATTCCTATCGTTCAATCCTGGGAAAATTTCTTGACTGGTTTTCCCCCTTCCCATATTCTGTTATCTCTTTTTGAAACTCCTATTCAGTCATGCGAATGTTGAATGAGATTCCACTCTTTAACAGGCTCTATTCCAGGCATTTGGCATATTTCTGTGAACAAATCAGTTAAATAATCCCTGCACTAGTAGACCTTACATTCTAGTGGGAGGAGACCAGACAATAAACGAGACAGAATGAATACGTAAGTTATATGGTATGTTCGAGGTCTGTGTGACCGCACTTACTGTACACTGAGTGGCCATAGGTGCAGGCGTGGGTGGGTGGAGTTGGATTTTACCTGGGAGTGTAATTGGGCAGAGGTGGTGAGGGCATGTGGAGGACAGTATTGATAATGATGACCGCAGAGATGAAGTGGGTAATGAGGCTAATGGGTAATCCAGGAAGATGTCAAGGCCCAGTGGAAAGAGGATGAGAAATATCAGTGGGATTAAAAGACTGGGATTTGGGTTCCTGAGAGAGGGAGCTGGAAAGACCAGGAGTAGAGGTTAGAGAGCAGATAATGGGACTGACTCATGCAGGGCCTGCACTTAATCGAGTGGGAGATCAGAGTACGTGACTTTGGGAGAGTAGTGAGGGCAAGAAGAGAGAGACGTCAAGATCCTTGGGAGAGGAGGTGTTCTGGAAACTGCCATCGGTTGTAGGAGAAATCCGCTACCTAGATGAATCTTGAAATTGCTCAGGCTGTACTTGAGGGAGCACAAGTCAGGAGCTAAATGGTGAAGAAGGAGTGGGGCGATGGCAGGGATGAGGGGTGGTTGCTATGTGGAATTGGGAGGGGAGGAGGTCAGGAAGCAGGAATTTTAGGGAGCACCGAGGGAGAGTAGTTGGGCAACAGCACAAAAAGCAGGTCATGTGTTGTGTTCTTAGGCTCAGTGGTAGTAGGGCTCTGGGAGAAATCACCAGAAGGTCAGAGGGCTGCAAAGGGAACAGGCTTCTCAGGGGAGAGTGGCTTTCTGCTAATGCACTAGGTAAAGGGACCACTTAGAGAAGAAACCGAGGATGAGGGGAAATAGTAATCCAGAGTTTCAGGCATTGGGAGGGGTTAGGAGGTGCAGATGGGGGCGACGGCTGTACAGAGCCCTTTGGGGAAGAGTGTAGGAGGATGACTGTTTTTGAGATGGACATGATGATGGGGATAAAGAAAACTCAAGGCAGATGTTGAAAGGGTAGAGGTGTCTGGGAAGCATGGGTTTCCTCCCAGTGCAGAGCTCGCCCTTTCCCCGGTGGGGATGTGGCCCACTTGGTCCTAGTGCCCAGGCTTTCCCTTGACCACTGTTGATGGGGTCCCAGCTAGGGAAGCCCCCTTAACTCTGAGCATCACACTCACCCTTGACCCTCGATGATGAAGGGCGAAGGAGGCCTGGGGAGGTTTGGTCTTGGTCCCAGAGGCAGCTCCCCCCTGTAGTTCTGAGCTGTAGTGCTCCCCAGATCTCTGCTGATAAAAGAGTTGTAGGCATTTGGGGAAACATGGCTCTGATTCCTGAAGGAAGGGGCAGACCTCTGGGATCAGCTCTTTAACTTTTTTGTTTCTCTGTTTGTCCATCCCTTTTGATCTCTTTTGCTCTACTTTTAAAAGATTTTCTCAATTCTGTCTTTGAATACTTCCATTGGGTTTGTGTCTCTGTAGTCATTTGCAGGATATAGATATTTTCACTTACCTCAGAGCATATTGATAGTTTGTCACTGTTCTCTGCTGTTTCCTTCCACATGCATAGTTTATTTCCTAACTGATGCTCTTGTGTGTGTATTTTTTGGCCCTACGTTTCAGGGCGGGGTGGGGAGTACTAAAACGCTGATGGGCAGCTCTGCGCATAGGTAAGGCTGATGGGTCTGGGTGTTTTGTTGGGAAATTTTGACGTGGATATGTTGGTCTTTACTCTAGACTAGGCAGACAGTTCTACAGGGAGACATCCCCCAGTCCTCTCATGCAGAGAGCAGTCTTGCTGGCAGCATTCTGGGGACTGAGGCCAGACTGGGGGCCTCAGCATCAGTACGCGTCTGTTCACCTGATCTTGTTCTCCGTGTGTGCGGGGCTCCTGTCTCCATTGGGCCTTGTCTTTTCCCAACCCTGAGTCCCTTTGCATTTGATTCATTTGTAGTTTCTTCAGTTTGCAAATGAAAAAAACCCCACAGCTTTTTTAAGGTGTAACTGGTGTAGAATAAGCTGCTTGTACATAAAGTGTACAAATAAATGTACCTACCATATTAGTTTCTGAGGGCTGCCCTAACAAAGTACCACAAACTGGGTGGCTTAGAGGAACAGAAGTTTCCTGTCTGCACAGTTTTGGAGATTAGCAAATGCCCAAGGTGGGGCGGCAGCAGTGTTGGTGCCCTCTGAGGCCTGTGAAGGGCAATCTGTCCCACCCTTCTCTTCTGGCTCCTGGTGGTTTGCTGGCAGTCTGTGGCATTCCTTGGCTTGTGAGGAGCATCTGTGTGTCTTCACATCTGTCTTCCTCTGTGCGTGTCTTTCTCTCTTCATCTGGCATTCTTTTCAGAAGGACACCAGTCAGATTGGATTACGGGCCCACCCTATTCCAGCATGATCTCATCTCAACTTAACTAAATGCATCTTCAGTGACTCCATTTCCAAATAAGTTCACATCCTGAGGTACTGGGAGTTAGAACTTCAACATAATGAATTTTGCAAGGACACAACTCAACCCATAACAATACTCATGAAACCATGACCACAGTCAAAATGGTGAAAATAACTCATAACCCCTCCGAAGTTTCGGTGTCCTTTGGTGTCCCTTCCTTCCTGAGCCTCCCCCCGCCCCCCCAACTCCAGGCAGCCACTGATGTGCTTTCTGTCGCTGTGGATTAGTTTCCATTTTGTGGCGTTTTATATAATTGGAATTATATAGTATGTCCTCTTTTGTCTGGCATCTTCTACACAGCGTGCTTATTTTGAGACTCAGCCGTGTTGCACGTATTGGTAGTGCTTTCCCCTTTCTTGCTGGGTAGTAATTCCACTGTGTAGATGTGCCATAGTTTGTTTATCCTCCTGTTGATAGACATTTGGATTATTTCCAGTTTGGAGCTATTATGAATAAGCTACTATAAACATCCTTTATTTTGGGTAAAATAAGGTAGATCAACTGTAGCCAAACCCAAAAATATATTTCCAATTATTTCTGCATACAAAAGGTTTTCTAAATATATAATCTAATATTTAAGTGTTAATATTTAATACTTAACTATTTTAATTAAATTTACTTAATATTTAATTGACTTCAAGTTTTAAAATATTTAAGTTTCCTAAATATTTAACCTACAGTATTTACCCTAATTCTAAGACAAACCCTGACAAGATCTGCCATTCCACCAGCCTACACAAATCATAAAATAGGGCTGCTTTGATTGGGACACCTAGTCCTGGAACTTCAGTCCTTCTGATGTTCCCAGTTTGTCGCTAGCACGTGGGCAGTGTGGCCCCGTGGTAGGCACTCAGGTTCTGGGCGGATGACTTGTGGGGCTGAGGACCCACCGTGCCCTGTGGATCTCATGACGGCCTTCTCTTTCCGCTTCAGATCCGGAGGCTGAAGCTGCAGCTGGAGGAGGAGCGGCAGAAGTGCTCCCGGAGTGAGGGCTCGGCGGCTGACGTGGCGGGCCTGCACAACGGCTCCGACTTGCAGTTCATCGAGATGCAGAGTAGGTACCGTGGCCAGGCCAGGGCCACTCTGTGGGGAGGCTGTGTTCCAGGAGTGCGACTGCAGGCACGCTGCTGGTCTTGATGCGCATTTCTCTCGGGGAGCCAGGTTACAGAGATTGCTTAGTCCTCAGCGAGCCCAGATAGTAGTCCTGATCAGTGGTGCAGCCGGGTAGAGGCTTCTAGTAGCCTCTGCACTTCATGGAATGGATTACAAGAGGACCGGGTTAATGCAGTGATTTCTAGAGGCATTTTGGAAACGGTGTCCTTCTGGCACTGTCCTCTCCCACACCTGGGTCAACTGTCAGCTCCCATATAGCACCCTTCTTGATGACATTTTTCTTGTGGAATCTATCTTGGGTAGTGAAGGATATATTTGGAACTAACTCACACTAATGCTGAATAGTTTCAGAACTTTGCTAGAAGTTTTATTAACCAAATTAATCTTTATAGCTGAAATTTAAAACAAGGCCACAAAGTAAGCCTATTCGTGCAGTTTTTCTCCCTTTCTGTTTTTGACCCCATGTTGTTTTAAAATGCCTGCTGTGTTCACAGTAATCTCCATGGTGGGGGGAGGTCAGCAGCCATTCATATATAGCTAGACAATGTATCGTTTGTGGAGAGGGGAGACTTACTTTTTATTCAGTTTGAGTTGTGGCTTTTCTGATAATTTATTTTAAAATATCAGTTATTTCATGGCTTTTTCATCTAAATATTTTTGCATTAGGCTAAATAGAAAAGCCTTCTTGGATTAAGGCTTATTGATACTATTAATACTGGCTTTTGAGGTTAGTATCATGTCCTTTATTAGAGATCAGTTGGGACCCTTGTGACACTTCCTGTTGAATATTTTATTCTAGAAATACTTTGGTGTGGAGGATAGATGAAGATGGGTATTAGAGGCAGACTGACTAGCTGGGAGGCTGTGATGATCAGCTGGACCAGTACAGTGGCTGCCAACAGTCTTAGAGGGCAGGGGGTAGATTGGCCTAAAGCAGCAAAATCAAAAGGAGTCACACTGAGGGAGAACAGGCATGCCTTACGTGTGAATGCTCCTAGGGCAGGTGGGCGTTATGGAGCTGGTATCTGGGAAGGACCCAAAGTGACTGTAGAACGAGGTGGGCTCAGCGGGACCCAGTAGACAGGCCTGGCCAGCAAAGGAAGCCCGGGAACATAAGCATGGTGTGATTGAATGGAATTTCATAGCAAGCACGAAATGGCAAAGATGCAGGACTTACACTCTCGAAAACAGGAAGGAAAGGGAGGTTTGCCATGAGAAGGAAGCAGCACATTGTGATAATTAGTAAGTGCTGGGATGAAGAATTAACCAGATCCTGAAGCTTGTGTTTTAGAGTCCAGCAGTAGGAACTCTTGTCTGTCACTGCCAGAGGGGCCTTTGGGGTGAGAGTTTTATAGCCCCATTACTTTTCAGGTGACAGTAACTACCCGTGAGAAGATCCTCTTGCTCAAGATTATATAAGTAGTTGTAACCTCAGTGATGTGGAAAAGCAGAAAAGTTCTTAAGTTAGATAGCTTAGATTTGGTTTATCTCCTTTAGGCCTTATGATTCCTACCCTATAATCATTTCAGAATGATTTTTGTTAAATTTGGTTTGCTGGAAGGAGTTTTTTAACTTCTTATTTTAAATGACTTCTTAGGTCAGAAGTACAACTGATGATTTAGAAGTCTACCTATCATATTATCACAACATATTACTGAAAAGCATTTCTTTGAGCAAATGTTTATTAAGCACATGCACAAAGCCCTTGGCGAGATACAGAGGTAGACTGAAGGCAGAGCCAGGGCCCCTCTCCTCATGTACAGTGTTCAGAAAGCACGATTAGTGTTAGCAAAAACAGTGCCAATAAAACGCCATGGGGAAGGTGAAGTTACAGGGGACTAAGCAAGAGTCATGCCGGAGGGTGCTGAGGACTTGTCAGAGGCGGGGAGAGCAGGACCCTCAAGGTGTGGCAGCCAAAGGGAGCGTGGAAGGCAGGAAGGTGAGGGAAACTGGAGGCTCCTGGGGGAAGGGCAGCACCGAAGTTTGGCGGGGGCCACCGATGCACTGACAGGGCTCCTTGCTCATCGGCCTCCCCCCACCATGGGGTAAAGAGTAAATTTTCTTCCACCTCCCTGGTCCAAGGGATGCTCGGATCAGGGGCTAGAGCTTCTGGCAGGAGAGCCGTTGTAGAGCCCAGGCTGTGGGAGGTGCCGTGGCCGCCCCTTGGGCGTTTGCGCTCGGTGCCCTCCTGGGCTGCAGAGGCTGTCACTGCCTGAGGTCACACCTGCTCTCTGACAGGTGATTCACTATTCTCTTCTCTTCTAGGAGATGCCAATAGACAAATTAGTGAATACAAATTTAAGCTTTCAAAGGCAGAACAGGATATAACCACGTTGGAGCAGAATGTAAGTACTTCAGTGCGCTAAGTGATTTACACTCCCTTGGAAACTTCCTGCATCCGAGTGGCTAACTCCACGAGTACCTGGCTTTTCTTTGGGCTGCCTCTGCAGTGGGGTCTCTATAAAAGCTCTCTATTAAAGTAGAAACGCCAGCAGAGAGAACCTGGCAGGTCACTTCAGCCTTCTGTTAGCTGTAAAAGTGCAGAAGACTGAAGCTATAATTCTGTTTTTTCCAGATTATTTCGAGACTTCAGGAAGACTGTAGTTTGAAAATCCCTTATTGTACATTTCAAAAAGTCTAAAACCTTTTCCATTTAGTGAGTTTTGCCCTGCACTGTTACTTTGGCACTTAAACAGTATGTTCATCATAAACTTAACATGGGAAATCGGCTCGATAAGGACTCTCCAGCCTTATCCCTCTCCGGGGACATTTCTTGATCTATAAATAGCCGTCGGGTGCTGAGAGGCCCTCTGACTCACCGTGAGGGGATGACTTGGGATTTGTAATGACGCTGTGTTTCCATGTGGCTGTGAGAAAGGGGCCCCCAGTGGCCATTAGCAGAGGCTCGTGTTCTTTGTTGACAGATCAGCCGGCTGGAGGGCCAGGTGCTGAGGTATAAGACGGCTGCGGAGAACGCCGAGAAAGTGGAAGACGAACTGAAGGCGGAGAAGAGGAAGCTGCAGCGAGAGGTACCTGCTTTTGCATGCTCGCATTCCCACAAAGAACAGATCCTTCGCTGCCTGAGGAACTGAATCCTGGTTCAATCTTAAAGGAACCGCAGTGGAGTCTCTCACTCTTCGGTGTTGGTTTTTGACCTGCGGGGTGACTGCCATTTACTTTTAGGTTTCGGCCAGTTAGAGACTGAGAGGATAGGTCTCCCTTTTGTTGTGGAGCCGGTCTGTTCCCCCACCCACTGGCTGTCCTTTCTGGGGTTGAGGCTCAGTGTCCCTGCTCGGTGCTGCCAGCTGGCGAAAGAGAGGCGAGGCCGCAGGGCGCGGGGCGGGGCGGGGGGGGGCTTCCGTGTTGCGGGCAGGGGGCGGGGGCACACTCAAGTGGCACTGGGTTTCATGTGTGACTGTGTGAAGTGACTGCGCCCTCCCTGTCTGCAGTTACGAACGGCACTGGACAAGATTGAGGAGATGGAGATGACCAACAGCCACCTGGCCAAGCGGCTGGAGAAGATGAAGGCCAACAGGACAGCACTTCTGGCCCAGCAGTAGGAGGCCACCCTCCGGCCCGGGCGCCGCTCCTGGGGCCCCCTCCCAAAGGGACTGACTTTTTGTCCATTGACACAGACCCCCTTCAGTACTGTTTGAGTTTTGTCATTAAAATAGCCACCTTTGTATTTTATAATTTATGAGAGAATGAAACAGGTTTGAATCTTCATGAATGAACACTTTGGATTTCGTTTGTAGTTTGATTCTAGACTAAGAACTGGTCCATGCTGGGTTTTTTTTTTTTTTTTAATTTCCATAATTTTAGAATCAAGTTTACTCACCATTTTCCCCCAGCTGCCTCAGTGACTGGGCACTCGGAGGCCTTGGCACAGGTTCCGGAGGACAGCGACTCTGTGAGTGCCCAATGAGGTAACTCGGCTGGAGACCTCGGAAAACACAAGTGCCTTCTCCACGGTGCAATTCAGACTTCAGTCATCCCCAGCGGTCAAAAGACACTTACCCTTAATATCAGATGGCATTTATATTTTAGTGAAGAAACAAGTTCACAGGCGGGGAATGTATGTTTCACTCAAATTTCTATGTTTGGAGGAAAAAGCCTTTTTTTGTAAAATATTTAAATTTATATAAGAAAATGTTAGAAAAAGATATGGGGAGTGTATATAAAACTTGCTTTATTGCATGTGGCCGGGAATGTCCAAAGCCTAACACTCTTAAAGTAAGAGTAGGGCCCTTCGTCTTCAACGTCAGCTGTGCTGTATCTCATGTAAAGTATCTCATCTGCTGCTGATCTGTGGAGTGACACCTCAGACGAGCCCGGTGGGGGTGGGGACAGGCAGGGGGAGGTCGGCCTAAAGACTATTAAACGCACCCTCTTGCTGACCACGGCTGGCTGCTGACACAGTCATTTTTGTTGGGGGAGCCTTTAAAACACCTCAAGGCAGCCACACACACCCGTTACCTTGCCCCTCTTCTCTCCTCCGCAAGAATGATCTGGAATGTACAGCTTTTTAAGAACTTCAGTTTCATCTTTAAAGGCACCCAGTTCAAGGGGCTTTTATCATCGAGTGTGGCTACTCTGCAGGATTTGTGATTCTCTTTTGCCCTCAGAATCAAGGTGGTTTTATGGAGATGGTGGCTGTTATCTTCAGAACAAATGCGAGGGGAAGTCTAATGAATTAAAAGCACATGAGATAAAGTTTAGACTTGAAGCTAGATGCTAAAGCTAACTTGAGTGTGAAAATCTACAAATTACCCCCTTCTTCAGAGCAATGAGCTTTGTAGTTGTATTTTATTTTTAAAATATGGAAACCGCTGTCCTGAATGGAGGGGATTTCCTATAAATTCTCTCTAGTCATAGTAGGTGCAATCACCTGTGCAGGAGCTGTGAGAGAGGGAGAGGGGGGCGAAGTTCTATTCAGCCTGTACCCCGCTGGGCTCAGCAAGCCCCACTGCTGAGCCGCCCTGTTGACTTTTTGGAAGTTCTACATGGTTGAACCTTGACCTTGCCCCTTTTGTGGTACAACAAATTTGTCTCTTCTGTTGTCCCAGTCTCTTCCAAAGGGAATGGCTGTCTTCACTCGGTAGAGTTCCCTGTTCTTTCCCATGGAACGTTCTTCACTGAGTCTTGTGATCTGATTTTACCTCTGTACTGAAGGCGTTCGTCCTCCCCGTGCTCACTGCACATTTCTGTTAACGCAGGCTAGTGTTAAGGCAGCTTCTTGTAATGGTACCTACAGCTTAAGTGTGTATTTTTATGTCATCCTTCAGACAAGAATAACTAGAACTTAAGCTGGTAGGATTCAGATCCATTTACAAAGGGGACTTACTTAAAGTGCACACTAGTTACAAACTCCATCAGGACTGCTGTCCTCTTGCAAGTTTTTTTTCATTACAGATTAATTAGCTTTGGTTACATAAGGTAGTAACAGCTTATCAATTCAGCCTTCTCCATACTCAGTGTCACCAGAGCCTCTTATATGTTCGGGACCTCTTTCCAAGCAAGTGAACCAATGTAATTCATATCAACTGATATTAGAAATTTACTGGAGTACACAAAGAACCAAACCAGAGCAAGATCTATAAAATCTTCAAGGGCTTTTTAGAATTCTTATCAGATGCCCAGAGGGCTTTCAAACTGCTTTTGGATTCTTCAACACAATCAAGTATACTGTAGGTGAAAATGGATCTAGAAAACCTTTCAAGTGTAGTGAAATTAGATAAGAAATCATGTTAGGACACATCTGACAATTTATTTCTAGTCAATCCACCAAGCATGAAAGAGTGCTACTAGTTAGAGGGCAAACGGGAGTCTTCAACCCTAAGACCTGTCTTCGTCAGGATGCAGTGCAAGAACCACACAGCCCAGAGTCTGCAAGTGATCGTGGTCAGCACCTCTCGAAGACTTTGTACAGATCAGGCAGGTTAGCAAGCTGTAGGATGTTTCCATCTTCTGTGAAATGTTTAGGAGGCAGAAGGTGGGAGCGGAAGGCTTTATAAACAATATGTTCCACAGTCCACTTCCAGGGGTTTGCAGAGGAGCCTGACACTTCACTCTGGAAAAGACACGTTCGAGGTCACAAGCCTGCCTGTTCGCCCCGCTCACATCCCAGCATTTGTGGTTTCCTGGCTGACCTGTATTGGGCCTGGAAGTCTTGCTGGTTACAATGGGCTGTTTTACCTGCTGCTGGTGAAACATCCTCTCTGGTCAGCCTCTCAGGGATCCTACAGCCCTGAAGGAGACAAGGGGAAAGGCAGGCAGAGACCTTCTCCCGTGGAAACTTTGTTTCCATTCAGGAAAACTGTTGATTGTAGCAGCATCTAACATAAGGTCTGATCCTGACTATGACGTTCAGCCCACAATAGTAGGAAGTGTATTCACCCCAGGCCCTTTCTGTGTACAGCTGATCTATAAGAAGAGCTAGGGATCTGACCTTAGTATTGCCCTGTTTGCCTCGAAGAGCAGTGGTCAGAAGTATAATGAGCCAAAGCTAAATGGGCGTGGGGAGACTGGGGCAGAACCTGAAGACCGGGGCTGCACACCTAAGGGCTAACAGTGGGAGACGAGAATTCGCTAGCCCGGGATCGTCCACCAGCTCAGCCTCCCAGCTCTCACGGTGACGGCTTGTGTTTTCACATTTGACAGGTAGTGAGATCATTCTAGAGGGACCTTCCAAACCAGCAGAAGGAAGCGAAATTCATGAATAAAAGCTGACCATTATGTTGAAACCTTATGTGCAGTGAAATCCTACAAATTCAGAGGTGGCAGGTTTCATTCGCTAAAGGTTGTGTGAGGCCCATCCCCATCCTGGGTGCTAATGTGCATCACCACAGTACCTGCTGGCCCGCGAGGGTTGACTCCTCAGATATATACTGCTTCCGAATGGAGTAAAACATAGCACATTCTTTACTAAGGCTTTCAAAACATTCCTTCTCTTCATCCCAGTTCACCTGGTCCAAAGAGAGAAATTAATACCTCAACATAGGTACTTGCTTTAACAAACATTTCATTTCCAAGTGGAGGTTACAGACTACTTAAAAGCTTTTCTCATGTAACGTTTTAGGCATTAAATCTGTAAACTGGAACTGCCGAATACGGCTGGGGTAGGTGGGGTAACGGGGGGCCTTCAGCTGTTGTATCCTTTTCATCTCCATCATTCCATGTGAAGGTGTGGCTCCGTGCCCTCTCCCGCCAGCCCACACGCAGGTACCCACATACTTAGGAATGGCCTGACCACTTGCCTCCGTGGCGAGTCGAAGAATGAAGATAGGCAGACCCTCCAAAGGGGGCACATAGCTGTCAATGAGCAGGGGTAATCCAGTCAGGTTCCCTTCCTGCTTGTGCAGAAAAGGCCACGACAAGGGACAAGAAGTAAATTGTTAGAGTTCAATCTAGTTCCACTTCCCCAGTGCTCCCTCCAGGTCTTGTCTGCATGTCTGCACTCTGGTGACCAGGTGCTTGACTGGGCTGGGCACCGAGGGCAGGAGAGCAAAGTGCTTAAAAAGAGCTTTTTGTACAGAACAACTTCTTGTTTCAATATGCTCACCAGCTAAAGAACACATCGAGATGGAAAGCCCCAAAGTTTAAGGGATAAGAGGAAGAAACAAGGAAAGCAAGTGGCCTGGCATCCTCTCATTCGCAGGGACTGTGGGATTCAGCTCTCCCTTGTTGGGGTACTTCACCCCGGGAACAGGAATGGGCATGAATGGACGAGAAAGCAAATAGGGAGTGAGGATGTGAACGGATGTCACGTGCTGCATCTCACAGGGGCGGGCGGCCTTCTGGTCCTGATCTCGGACAAACTACAGAACTTGACTCTTATCTGAGGAATGCAACAGAGGCATAAAAATGGCTGTCACACACCTCATCGATTTCCAAAGAGAAATAGTCTGCGAGCATCTCAGCCTTCTTCTTCAGAAACTCAACGATGTACTCGGCAAGTCCTTCTTTGGGACCATCATCCTCCGTCCAGCCACTCTCAGGACTATCCAAGGCGAGCATGGCCAGGTCAAACAGCGGCGCTGGCTCCTAGAACAGAGGAGGTGTCAACCGTGCATCCAAGTGAAGCCTGAATTCCTTCCCACAAAACCACCACAGGCACACCTCGGCGGTACTTGGGGTTTGGTTCCAGACTGCCACAGTAAAGGAGTAGCACAATACAGGGAGTCAAACGAATTTTTTGGTTTCCCAGTACACATAAAAAAAAGTTATGTTTACACACATATATCCTATCTATGAAGTGTGAAATAGGATTATGTCTAAAAAAACAATGTACATACCTTAACTAAAAAAAACCTATTCAGCTGTAATCATCAAGACAGTATGGTACTGGCACAAAAACTGACACACAGATCAATGGAACAGAATAGAGAGCCCAGAAATGAACCCTCAACTCTACGGTCAACTAATCTTCGACAAAGCAGGAAAGAATGTCCAATGGAAAAAAGTCTCTTCAACAAATGATGCTGGGAAAATTGGACAGCCACATGCAGAAGAATGCAACTGGACCATTTCCTTACACCAAAATAAACTCAAAATGGAAGAAAGACCTAAATGTGAGACAGGAATCCATCAAAATCCTAGAGAACACAGGCAGCAACCTCTGTGACCTCAGCCGCAGCAACTTCTTGCTAAACCCGTCTCCAGAAGCAAGGGAAGCAAGGGCAAAAATGAACTATTGGGACTTCAAGATAAAAAGCTTTTGTACAGCAAAAGAAACAGTCAACAAAACCAAAAGACAACCGACAGAATGGGAGAAGATACTTGCAAATGACAGATAAAGGACTAGTATCCAAAATCTATGAAGAAATTCTCAAACTCAACACCCAAAGAACAAATGATCCAATCAAGAAATGGGCAGAAGACGTGAACAGACACTTCTCCAAAGAAGACATCCAAATGGCCAACAGACACATGAAAAAATGCTCAACATCACTCGGCATCAGGGAAATACATATCAAAACCACAATGAGATGCCACCTCACAGCAGTCAGAATGGCTAAAATTAACAAGTCAGGAAACAACAGATGTTGGCAAGAATGCAGAGAAAGGGGAACCCTCCTACATTGTTGGTGGGGATGCAAACTAGTGCAGCCACTCCGGAAAACAGTATGGAGGTTCCTCAAAAGGTTGAAAATAGAGCTACCCTACGACCCAGCAATTGCACTACTCAGTATTTACCCCAAAGATACAAATGTAATGATCTGAAGGGGCACCTGCACCCCAATGTTGACAGCAGCAACGTCCACAATAGCCAAACTATGGAAAGAGCCCAGACGTCCATCGACAGATGAATGGATAAAGAAGATGTGGTATATATATACAATGGAATATTATGCAGCCATCAAAAGGAATGAAATCTTGCCATTTGCAACGACGTGGATGGA